CTTAGAGCAGTGGAAGAAGGTTGCCTGGTCTGATTAGTCTTATTTCCTTTTACGCCATGTAGACGGCCGGGTACATGTGAGCCATTTACTAGAGAAAGCGATGGAACCAGGATACACTGAAGGAAGATTGAGGGAGTGTTATGCTCTGGAAACCCTGGGTCCCGTGCATTAGTTTGGACATCAGTGTGACACGTCACCATCCTAAACATCATTGCGGAGCAGGTACACCCCTTTAAAGCAGTGGTATTCCCTGATGCCACTGGCCTCTTTCAGCAGAATCGTGTGCCCTGCCACTTTGCATGTACTGTTTGGGAATGGTTTGAGGAACATGACAAGTTCAAGGTGTTGCCTTGACATCCAAATTCCCCAAATCTCAGTCCAATCAAGCATCTTTGAGATGTGCTGAAACAACAAGTATGATCTGCTGTGGTGCCACTTTGCAACTTACAGGACTTAAAGGATTTGTTGCTAATGTCTTGGTGCCAGGTACCACAGGGCACCTTGTAGAGTCCATGTCTTGGGGGGTTGGAGGTGTTTTGGTGGTGCGCAGAGGATCAACACCATGTAATGCAGGTGGTCAAAATGTTTTGGCTCATCAGTGGGTTTTATCGTCTTGATTAATCATCAAAATAGTAGGTAGATTGCTTGATTGCTAATGCAACTCAGGACTGTCTAACAGTGTCTCTGACAATGAAGAATGGTATTACCAGGAAAGAAATGGTGGATCGAGATTAGCCTAACTAATCTCCTTTAGTGATTCTCTGATTGAAGATACTGCGGAAACATTTCGGTTTAATTAGACATCTCAGATTAATTAGATTGACACTATGATTGACACTGTGCACCTGTATTGCATAGAAGTAGCAACAGCCAAGGACATATTTGATTGTCATTGAAATTATACTTATAAAGTTAAACTTTGATTGCAACTAGTCTCTTTTTAGTGCAATTTTTAGTGTGGTTCGGGGGTGAACTGTCATATTAGGAACAAATCCACCTCTATGATAATGCTAAATTCTGCTAGCGTTACTGTGAGACTCTTTGTTAGCACTAAGTTAACGCAGATACACATGAATATTTTTTTGGCCATTCTAGATTATACCTAGACAGTTGAAGCTTCTCTAAGACATTCCGTGTTTTTCTTGAAACGTTTGAGAGACATATTAGAATACATTTTACCTTTAGCTGTTTCATAATGACTCTTTCTATAGAGAGTGGAAGTACAGAGCCGATACCACTGTTTTCCATTTTTAACTATCTATTGATTAAACTGCTGCTTATATTCACAGTCAGTGACATCTAGGACTATCAAAAACCAATCAAAATGTGAGAGCTGTCTTAGCTATAAAATAGCTAAAAACGATTCCTGATTGGCCAAATTTCTGCTTGGCATTTGAAGAATGTAACCTGTAAAAGCTATAAAAGAAAAGTTGGTCCAGACCCAGGTGTCCTTCGTTGAGGTCCTGTCCCGTGGGGCAGCGTGAGTGTCCACTCCTTCATACTCACATGATTGGACTTTGTGCTCCAGTAATCCACGTTTTCTGTGTTCTGCTCACACGGGTTGACGTGGTGTTGGCCAGGCTGAGGCGTAAGCAGCTTAATCGGCAGCCGTGTGTCAACAGATGAAATATGGGTCATACAGCAGTGCACAGCAGGCTAAACATGACAACTGAAGCACTGCTGCTGGAAGGAGTTTCCTAATACTGTACTTCTGTGAATGAAATTTGGTCATGTAGGTATGAACTACTGTTTTCATAGATGTTTTTACAAGACTAAAGAAGCTAAGTAGTCATGGAAGCTTCCACCCCCAAAAAAATCAACATACCCTTGTCTCAAACTGTCTAGTCGTTAAGTAATCTCAAACAGACTTGTTTATGTGGTTTCTGACACTGTATGACAGTATAATCCATGTTGAAAACTACATTTTTGGTGTACTTTTGTAATTTTTTTTTAGGTAGGTCAAACAGCCTAAGCAGTTCTGTTTGAGACTGAAAGGGAATTCCACTGATTTTTCCAAATTTCTGCATAGTTAAATAATTTATATGTTAACAAAGTCATTCAGAGTGGTTTGATTTAAAATGCTCTATTCTAGAGAAACTTTCAGAATAGTTAATGGTGGTGATAGGAACCAGACGTTCAATATGTTTAATGCCCCTAAAATCTCCCTCACAGAAAGCTATTACAAGAAATAGTTACGAATAAGGCATCAGACATTGTTTTATGACAGTTTTGAGATGAGGTTTTGGTCTAATGTGTTTTTTAAAATCATGGCGGAGAGGTACATACATAGGGCAAAGTAATTATATATTAATTATATATTAATAACACTGGTCATTTTCGACAGTAAATAAAAAGGTTATATTTGTGCTGTGGATAATGCGAAATTGGTTCCTCTTATCGCCACTATAAATAAATTAAAGTCAGTTTCTCTGCAATGAACCATTTCACATCAAACCACTCTGAAAGGTGTTGTTTACATCTCAACAACTGTATTATATAGAAAAATCTATAGAATCCCCCTTTAACAATTCAACACAGTTTGAGGCAGTTAAGTGATTTAAACGTGCGGTTTACACACTGCTAATTTGTGCACATTTTTTTTCCCATTACCTTTACAGCACAGAGCTAAAGAAGCAAATTTCAGACACCAAACATGTCCTTGCTGATTGTCTACATGTGAGACAAAGGGGGAAACTGTATAATGAGATTTTTTTTTGTGGAAATATCATTCTAAATTTCATACAGCATAGCTCTACATCAAAACCAAGGCTGGCTTATTTTCTACAGACAAGCCCAGCTGCCAAAGCTAATGATACTGCAGTGTTGGATACCTCTCATAACTCATCTTAAAATATCACATTACTTTCTCCCATGCACCCCCCATGGGATGCTGGCAGTAGAGGGATTGCCCCTTGGGATTTTTAGAATAGAGCACGCCTCCTCAGTGTTGATGCAGCGCTATCAGACCCCACACACAAATTGTAGTCTTTCCACAATGAACGTTTGATGTTTAGTTTCTTGGAAAAAGGGCTTAAATGCTCCCAACATGCTTTATTTAGTGTAGGCTAATGTTTAAATCCCTGGTGAATTATCCTCAGAGTCAATAAAATAGTCATTAACTCTTTTTAAGACTCTCTTGGGATTTTTTTTATTTAATTTTTTTTTTAAGCAGTCTGACTTTCCTTTAGCCCGCCCTTTACAGGAGACATACCAGTTCAACAAATTGCTCAAAGTTTTGCTTTCTTATACCTGACAAAATCACATGTATAAGGCAAAATGCTTGTTACTGCAGACTTGGCTGTGGGCATAATACAGTACAGAAATACCTAAATGTCAGTGGTGTTTTTTTCTTTATCTGTGAAGCTTATATTAAGCTCAGTCAATATTAAGACCAGTTTAGTTCAGCTCTTTTAGACAGTGGTAATCATCAAAGCTTACATAATTTTTGCAAGGGCTCATGGTTGTTTGATTTTCCCAGTTGACCCCACACTTGGTGGAATTCTGTGCAATAGATGGATGACCATGCTTCAGGGAGATGTTTTATGATGTTGAATTTCTGAACCGCTTGACGTCACATTTGATACTACTGAGAATAAACATTCATCTTGAGAATTCACAGGCCTGAACTGGACCCAAACACACGCAAACACACATAGACACGCTTACACACATGCCAAGGTTAGGGATGTTTACAGCTGATCTGAGAACTTCAGGCATATGTGCATCTTTTAACTTTTAAATGTGATGTCTTGGGGTGCATCATGTCTTTGGAAGAGATTAACTAAAGCTGTGCTGATGCTATAATTAACTGTTGAATTGCAGTTTCTTTTGTGATTTTGTATCAATATGAGCCAAACCTGTGCCCAGTTATGGTTGTCCAAGTTACCACAGTAACAGCCCACAGTCATGGTAAAAGTTTATCATTTATTGATTTATTTCATGCAAACCATAGTATAATGCTATTATTCCCGCAAGTAAACATAACTAAACCTTTAAACATGTTGGCTGATGTGATGTCCTACATTAATACACCATTTATGGTTCCTTGAATAGATGGGATTGTTCTAGAACCGCAGCTCCACTGGTTAAATGTAATTTATAACTTATATTATAATTTATATAATATTTTATCTTTTATTTGACAAAGATTAATGCTCAACTTACTTGTTATCATTGTGTTTGCACTGTGTTGCACTGTGTCGCAAAATCACTGGACAATGCACAGTCATTTTCCACACAGTTACAAGTTCTAGCATTGTTCATAACTGAGCTTTCCCTGCTGAAACCCCTGTCTTTCCAGGCAGGGTGTCAAGAAATGTCCCTCATAGTACGACTGAAAAGAAATCATGCTCTGAAACATTACAGGATGCTAATTGCTTACTCAAGGAGGCAACAGGATATTTGCAGAGCTAAAATGACCACTGTTGGCTTTATGCTAGCAATTAAGCAATGACAGGTTGATTGATTTGCTCTTTGTGTTTCTGCTGGACAAGGTCAGTTCCTCAAGCAGGCTGAGAAAACCTGAAGTGCACAGCCAGCCTGCTTTACAGAACAGAATAGCTTAGTAACAACAGATATATCCTATATAATGTATTTTTTTTACTTGTGTTTAGTAATTATTTTTTTGATTGTTAAAATCTTACACTACATTAGCTGTTTATCCCCATCTAATCAGTGCCAGTTCCGACCCGCTAGCAAGGTATTTACATTAGGGGCGGGAATTGCTACAAGCTCCGTGATACAGTATTATCATATGTGAGCCACGATATGATTTTGCTGTGGTATATGAAGAGTTTTGATATGCTATGTATAGTTAGGTCATATTGCCCATTGCTTGTTAGCTACATTGACCCTGTAGGTCCAAAACTAAGGCAGCACATTTACTATGTCTTACAAAACTGAGTAAATTTTATTTTTTGCAGAACAATTGATTTAAACATTATTGCCCTTGCGCTTGGTATTTTTCATTAATGAATCGCTTCTTTATTTCTTTGTTGTAGAGCTGTCTCTGGCCCAGCGCAAGTTTGCTCAGTGCCTGGGTGAGTTCCAGTTTGAGTACATCGGAGATGCGAAGACTGACGATGAGAAGTGCATTGGTGAGTATGTTTACACACCTGACACTTTGCTGTGTCAACACTGTGTGATGTTTTGGATAATAATGATTAAAGCTGGGCAAACTCTGTTGAGCATGCCTAAACATGGGTCTGTATTCTTTACCCCACCCCCCTTTTTTTAGATCGTGCTTCATATTTCATCTACACACATAGGCAATACTAATGTAATTCAGTATTGTAGACCTGTCACAATTATTACATAAAGGCAGTTATTTAACAGAATGGGCCTAATTCAGCAAAGTTGCATAAAAAAAGCACAGATCTGACCACTTTTACTGACATATGATTAGAGATGAAACGGTTACCGGTTTCATGGTAAACCGCGGTAAAATTAATGACGGTTAGTAGTACTGTTTGAACTTTAAAGTATCGTTAAAACCGCGGTCGATTACCGCGGTGTGAAAACTCGGAGATTCGGAGATATTTCAGCCTTCTAAGATGACCAAGTCTGACGTTTGGTCATATTTTAGGTTTTATAAGGATGCAGAAGGAAAGTTAATTGAAGATGACCACCCTGTCTGCAGATGACCACCCTGTCTGCAGAACATGCCGAAAGAAAATAGCAGCAAAAGGGGGCAACACATCAAACTTTACGAGTCATTTCACGACCACCACCCGCTTCTTTTTAGAGAATGCAAGGTTAACTTTAACGTAGAAGTCTGTGGGGACTTCGAAATAGAAGAGATGTCATGGTTTGTGTGGTTTAACCTATGCTTATGGTTCGTTAATAATATAAAATGAAACTTTTAGCGTCAAAAAAAAAGAAAAAAAGAAAAACAATCGGTGAATCAACTGTGAATCGAAACTAAAGCTTTTAACACATTTCTGTGGAGCAGAGTCTCCAAAACGAGCTCTGAGTTAACAGTCACACAAGCTCTGGAACGAGATGCTGCAGAGGTTCAATCTGCACAGCTCCCCTTGCTCGTGTCGCTTGCAGTGTTTACTGTCTGAGAGGAGAGTAACACCGTCTCAAATCACTCAGTGTCCCCTACATAGTGCGCTACTGTTCAAACAAACACGATCATCATTAACCAGCAGTTGAGTTTTAAATAGGGAAATTGTAGCCTGTTGTTAATGTTGATTATAGATGACTTAGTTGAACATTTCATGCACTCTTTGGGTGAAGGATTTGCTATTTCATGATCCACGAAGTGCACTACATAGGGAAGATAGTGTGCTTTGAGACGGGACCTTGCGCGAGTAAACGCTGCGTGCTGCTTTTAGGAAAAGCAGAGTTTCAGAGATTAAACTTCAGGAGTGTTTCTGCCGCAGCTCAGATGCATGCTAATTTTAAGTTATGTTTTAGTTTTAAAATGCTTTTAGAGAAGCAGCTCCACAGGTGAAGACACACTGTGTGAGTTCTACACTGTCTGCAGCTCACAGCACGTCACGCAATTCTTCTGTGATTTTGGCTGTTTTTCCTAGTGCACTGTATTGATTAGGGGTTCAGCGCCACAACGGCACAATAATGCTGCAGTTGCAGTTTGGACAGAAATCCCCAGAGTGCAGCACTTCTTAGAAGTAGTAATTTTCCATTAAGACCCACCTCAGAGTTGGTTGAGATTTAATTCGCTATGCAAGGAAATCCCTAGTTATTGTAATTAATAATAATAATAATAAGAAGAAGAAGAAGAAGAATAACAGTAATAATAATAATAATAATAATAATAACAGTAATAATAATACATTTGCTATTCTTTTGTTTACAGAGTATTACAAGTATTGTAGGTAATACAAGAGTAATGCTAAAAATGTATTGACCTTATTTTTTAATGTTTATGCAAACAAAAAGTGCATATTGCTGCCAATTCCATTTGTGTTGATATAAAAGTTGGTGAAACGAGTTTCAGTTTGTGTATCAGTATTTATTTTTTTATTTATTTTACTTTTCAAAACATTTGAACAATTTTGCGATAATACCGATAATTGTGATAATTTTGGTCATGATAATCGTGATATGAAATTTTAATATCGTTTCATCTCTACATATGATCTATTTTGTGTGTGTCGTTCATGAAACTTTCATAAGATGTGGAAACAAGCAGTGATTGGAGTTCAGTTGATGAATCAGCTTCAGTGCGTAAAATCAAGCATCTACCAGGGCCTCATTTACGTATCATTTACATGACGCATGCCCTAATTCATGCCGATGTTCTGGTAGGGAGCCGATAAAACGACAACATTCAGCAACTCATGAGCCGATGGCTGTGTTTGTAAGCGAAGTTTAAGGTTAAGCAGTGAGTGCCCCTCTTACTGACCAAGCTTTATAACATCAAAATTACAACCACTGGAAAGAATAAAATGTGAAATAAACAAAACATCTTTCTTTCAAGACAGTACAATGATGTAATTGTCTAGTGTGATTATTTTCCTTAAATAATATATTAAATGCTGTATTATTGCAGTATGTGAAACTTGCTATTTTGTATTATTATTAAAATAGTTGCTTCTGTACCCATAAACTGCATCTCATGTCTAATAAATAGCCTGAGATGTGTGCACAGTTCCATACTGGACAAACAGTGCAGTATTTTGGTGTAGAAGCCAGATTCAGCCATTGACAAACCACTACACCAGCTTTGCTAACTTGTGCCACACTGTGCACTGAAGCTGAAGAACAGGCGGTCTACAGACGGCTCTACCAAGACAAAAAAATGCTGTATTTATTTATTTATCGCAATTCAATTCCGTCAAAAGGAGGAAAGTAGTCGTATTTGGACACTGGTGCTGCAAATGTGCAGGAGCGGTGGTTGTGATTGTGTGCAGTTTTGGGTGTGACTTTGAGAAATCGGTTTGTGAGGCTGCTCACACTGTGAGACAAGCAAACAAAAATTCAGAAATCCATCCGATCGTCCGACTGCTCAATCAGAGCTCGTTTGGGCAGTTAATCTGGCATCATTTCCCTTCTCACACTGCACAGCAAACGACGACCGATGAAGCTGGAATTCAGCCCGATCATGAAATTCAGTCGGCTCCGACCAAATCGGGCAGTTGTTAATTGCAGTCGTTTATTTGACGGGTAATCGTGATGTGAAATTTCGTGATTATGACAGGCCTGCAGTTTTAAAGAGGTATCTGGGTGCATCCTGTCAGAGTAAAGTGTGTTGGAAGAATTTGAATTTGAACATTTATAATTCGTTTATCTGAGCGAAACCAATCTGTGCAATATGGAATTAGAGCTCTGTAGAATCTAATTAAATGTTGACCTCACAACCAAAAATCACATTGAATCTCAAAGTGTGCATCTCATGACACCCCTAATTTTTAAACATTCTTGGAAGTGATGACATAATCAAATAAAGAAGTTCAATATTCTTTATACCAGCTAGTTTGCTGACTTCTTATTTGCATATCCAGATAATGGCTGATAAAGGCTGCTGCGATTTCATCCCTTCAAATATCAGATGTTCATATCAAGTTGTCATTTGTGGGTTTTGCCTGTGTTAACATGAGTGGGAACAAAAACAGTAATGCAAATCAGACATAACTGGATAAGTGGGTTGCTAAGTGAATTTGATGAACCTGAGGCTGTAAGTCACAGTTATAATAAAAAAATAAATATTTAGGGGGAAAAGCTGTACTACAAAGTTAACCCAGAGCAAGGATGGGTCATCATCAGTACGTTTAGAGCACTGAGCAACTGCATGTATCACCAATTATAGAAAACAACAAGTGTATAGGAAAAGCATAGTAATCATTAAGTTGTTATTTTTATCATGTGTTTAAATGATTATACTTTCCTTTTCCTTTTTAAATGACTTAAACATTTTACATAGCCTTTTCTAAATGTGCCACTGTTTCCTGGTGCATTTTGTCAGTTCAAGCTTTGTTCAAAAACCTTAGAAAAACAAACCGTGATGTATGTCATAATGAAAAGTCTCACAATGTCATTTTTTTCCCCATATTGTCCACATTAAACCCATTGAACTTGTGACTTCAGCTTCTTATGTGTAAGTCTCTTTGTGCTGTTTCATATTTGTGTTTCAGATGAATCCTTACAGGAGTTTTCGTCATTCCTCCGAAACCTAGAGGACCAGAGAGAGCTGATGGTAGGTGCAACCTGTCGAGACCTGCAGTAAACCTAACGCACCGCCCAAAATATGCAAACCACTCAAAATGTTGCAGAACAGACCCAGTGACATAATTTTATTGTGTTAGAACATAAATGAAAAGAGACACTTGCAGCATCTGTCCAAAGGTACATATACCACCCTCACACACACGCACATACATACACACTGGATGTCTGAATGTGAGGTTATACATATGTCCAATAACATATGTGTTTCTGCTTATGTTTCTCTCTATTTTAACACACACAAACACACTTACTGCTCAAATGGTTTTAAACAGTTAGCTTAGCATAGTGACTTTTGCACATTACTGCATATGCCTTCAGCCATCGCATGGATTTATTTAATTGTATCGGCAGCATAGTTAGTATAATTTAGTGAAGGATTTATTAGCCCAGCCAGATATTGGTTGATGATTACTAAAAATATTGGGCTGCCACGAGGAGAGGTTTGGAAATTATTAATACAGTAAGTAGTGACTTTATTGTAATAACGTTCTGCTGAGCAAAAAATAAAAAACATTACTGTCAAGAAATTTTTAGATATATTTAGTGATATTAGAGATACTTTCTCAGGTGCCTAAACTATTTGCAGTTTATATGTGTATGTAAGGATGTAGTATGTAAAACAGTTTCTATCTTCCATATATATCCTCACCAGCAGCCCTGATGTGTCTGATCCTCTCGTACCAGCGCAGCACACACTAACACACCACCACCACATCAGTGTCACTGCAGTGCTGAGAATGATCCACTACCCAAATAGCCAAACCCAAATGGGATTACTGACCATTGAAGAACAGGCTGAAAGAGGGCTTATAATGAATATAGATATTCGTAATAATAGTTCAACTTTAAACGCTTTACAAAGTCAGAAACATTTTTGCTGGGCATGGAGGTTGGCCCTGTTATTTATTTATTTATTTATTTATTTATTTTATTATTATTATTATTTTTTTTTCCTTTTTTTTCCTTTAAAACTCAAGCTCATGCCTAAAAAGAGTCAAACCAAAACATTGCTGGACTGTGGTGTGAGTGTGCAGCAGTGAATAATGGTGCATTGGCCGTGTGCATGAGTTGGCAGAGTCTGAGGTGAACACAGGAAGTGAGTTGTTTTGCCGTCAGTTATTCATGCCCATTCTGTGAACAGCAGTGCTGGCTGGGGTGATTCTATAGCTATGCAAGTTTGCAGGAGTGATTGTGGTGAGTCACGTCTCCCTCAGCTCTGATCTGTACATGCAGCTTACTTCTTTCACTCTGCACAGACACACATTAGAGAACAGACGGATCCAGTTCTGAAGTCTGATTGACTGAACCATGATCAAAGCCACTGTAAAATACTTCTACATACACACATATGACTGCACATGTCAGTTTAGTTCTATGTTTAATTTAGACATTGTGCTCTACATGGACAAGTTTTTGATGATGTGGTTTGGCGACCATAAGTTATTGTTTACAAACTACATTGCTTGGCGTAAGTGGTTTATAGTGTTTATGAAATAGTTTCTTGCTTTTATGTGACAATAAGCAATATTGTTAAAATATAGAAATTGGTAACACTTCACTTGACCCCTGGTACGTAACATTGACAATACCATAAACGTGTCATGACAGATGTCATATGTGGTCGTGAGTTGTCATGACAGATTTTATTCAGTTATATAACAGTGTCAAGTTACCATTAACCATTTACTGTCATGAAAGATGCCATAATGACACTGATTGCTGTGACTGCTTGGTAGAGTACACAGCAAAATTTAGCATGTGACATCATGACAACAAACATTATGGCATCTGCTATTAATGGTAAGAGGAACACAGCATGATTATATTACTGAATAAAATCTGTCTCATCTCATCTCATGACATGGTATGGTTATGTCAGTAACCATATCAAACAAGTGTTACTGCTTAATCAGAACTTAATCAGAAACAGGCCATTTAGTTTTATGGCACTGTTTTTTGGTATTCTTTATTAATATCAGTTAAGCCATTGTATTCTCTGTGTTGAAACTGTATGTAATCTTGTTGTATCTTGTTTGTGTTGGTAGAGGGCTCTATTACAGCACTGCTTATAGCCATTGGTGAATATGGGTCATGCTGCTCTTTAGTAAACAGATATGCTTTAGCCAGTGGTGGCCCTGCCCAAAACTAAAAGCGCTCCAGCTGGCTTGTTTTTAAAGCAAGGTCCAGGCCCCCACCCAGTCACAACACAGCTGATGTCATCGTCCATGATGGAGCAATGTAGCTGACTGAGGCAGAGCTAAGCAGGCTGTGACATGCAGAGAGAGAGCGAGAGAGAGAGAGAGAGAGAGAGAGAGAGAGGCAAACTATTTTCTATTCATTTTAAAGGGAAATTCTAAATATTTCCAAATAATTCTGCGTAGTTCAGTCATCTATATATTAATAAAGTCATACAAAGTAGTTTGATGTGAAGTACTTTTTTGCGGAGAAGCTTTCTGACTCAGATTTCTTTACAGTGGTGGTGATGGGAACTGGGGATCATAATGTCTACAATACAAATATAGCTGTTTAATTTACTAGAGAAAATGACCAGTTAATCTACATGTCACCTGAGTTTGTATATGTAATTTTGATAATGGTAAAATAGCAATATGTCTGAAAAAAAAGCATTTTCTTGGGGACTGTTTTGCCTTACAGGACCTTGAGAGTGAGAGTTGAAACCATTTTCTGTATAAATGATATATGGACTATTCTACCAAATTAGTTCAAACTGCGGCCCCATGGAACAAAAAAAATTACAAAACAATGAAGTATTCAGACCTTAAATATTTACAAGGATTATGCTATGATCTGTTTAAACCCAAGGCATTAATTGAGATAGCAGCATAAAAGCAAAATATATGCAAAATCATCATGTATAAGGAACGTTCCATTGGTAGGTGGCTGTCCCAAACCCTAGCCCCCTAAATTTCAATTTGAATATTGCTGACTTTTTTCTTTTTTTTTCCAAAGATCTTTTCGATTTCTGTTTATGTTTAAAGATTTATTATGTATTATATTTAGCCACACCCCTGCATTTTAGAGCAGGAAGTGAGACTACATCCCTGTCCCTCATGGCCACATAGTTGAGCAGTTAAATCCCATGATCAGTGTGTAACATTAAGTATTGTCACTACTGAAACACGTGTTTTCTCCAATTGAGTGAACTTTTTATGTTTTAATAAAAACAATCTAGTCATGTGCTGGTTAGAGTTTTTGAGTTATGCTGAAAATTAGCTAAAATTGTCACTATCAAAACAGTCACTACTGAAACATTTAGTCTGTGATTGTTTTGGTAATGACAAGATTAAATGTTCAATTATTAGTTTTAATAAAATAAACATAATATTATATTAAATATTATATAATATGCACTTATTGGTCGGAAAATGCAGCCACTGTTGCTCTCATTGGACCATCGGTGACGAAAATTGAAACATTTTTCACCTTATGAAAATGGTGATTTTTATGTTCAGGTTCATGTGAACTGATTTTTGCATGATAAAAGTAGTGTTAGTGAAATTAATAAATACATTCTGATGAAGCCTATTTTGTCCACACATGCAGCTACAACAAAATACAATTGGAAAGATCCTTTCTTCCTTTTATTTATTTATATATGTATGTCATTTTTTTTTTCCCAGTGTGACAAATTTGTTTGAGTTAAAAAATTCAGGACACAAATGTGTTCAAAACAATGTTTTAAATAAAATTGATAGTCTGGTAATACGTTTTGTTGCCCACAGATGAGGAACATCACAGAGACACTGATGAAGCCACTGGAGAAGTTTCGGAAAGAGCAGCTGGGCTCAGCGAAGGTAGCGCTTTATTTCCCTTATTTCTCACTCAGGGTCATTTTTTATCATTTGTGGAAGTATCTTGGGGGAAATATAGCCTCCAACGTCAATATGACTGTAAACGAGACTGACTCATTATTAGTAATATTTTGAAATTTAGTAACTGAGTAATGCTCAGATCAGAAGAGTCCTTCTTATGAAACATTTTTTTGGACCTGTTTTTAGGCTGAGAGAAAGAAGTACGAGAAGGAAACGGAGAAGTATTACACTTCTTTGGAGAAACTTTTGAACATGTCAGCGAAGAAGAAGGAACCACAATTGCAGGAGGTAGTTCTGGCATCCAACTTTTGTACACAAACCCAAACAATGTGCAGGAAAAGATCACATTCATTTTTGTTGTTGTTTTTAGGCAGCGTTTTTGATGTTACAGCATAAATATTTTGAAGGTGTATCCTCACAGTTGGAAGATCTAGTCTTCAAAAAGCCACCCACAACAAAGTGAAACGTTATGCCACTTAAGCCCTTGTCTGACAGCACTTTGGAACACTTGTCCTTGGGAAAACATGTCCTTGTAAGGCACACCCATGTTGCCTCAATGTTGTATATACTGAATGCAGGAAGCATTTGAAGCTGTTAACGTTTTTACGATAGGGCGTTCCTGGGGAGCACGTGACGTGTGTGTTTGGGGTTGATGCCGATGATGTTATCAGCTCACTGTTTACATTTAGGTCTCTGTTCACACAGCTGCGAGTTTTCAGCTCACTATGCTGCACACACCAGAGATGGCCAGCACTTTCAAAGACACTTGTCAGTACCTGATCTGTTTTCTCAGGAGCGCTTTAACCTGTGGCTAAGCTGTTGCTATGGCATCTCAAGTGGTTGTTAAGGTGGTCATGGGACCTATGGGTCTAGGTGAAAACTCTAAAATCCGTACAACTCAACATGACACAAGTGAGTTTCCTCTAAACTGATGTGGACAAATTACACCACAAAAACTGAAAAGCTTATGTAAATGAATGAAAATGCAAACCCCGCCACCACCTGTCAAAGACTTGCTGCACTGCCATTTATCATCTTTCCTTTACTGCTTTACCTTAACCCTAGAACTATACCCCTCAAAACCATGGATGGTCGCTTGAAATTTACAGCTTGAAGGTGCTAGTCATCTTTTGACCTTATCTAACGTTACTAGCCCAATCACATTTCACTTTGTATCTGTTCTGAAAAACATTGAGTTTAAGATTGAATATAAATTCTAAACTTGGGATAAACTTAAGCAGCATATGTGCTGTATCAGCGCTCTGTCAAATCTGCCATGCAATGCTGTGGTGCTTCTCCACTGGTTTGCTTTAAAGTTTACTTGGTGAAACTATTAACATCACCAAAACAACCAAGGATTGTTTGCCAATGGGGTATATAGGCCCCTTTTCCTAACTAAAACACTATAGAACTATTCAAATGGAACAATAAATAAATGTAGCTTGCCGTTCTCTCTTTCTTCTTCTTTCCTTGATTTACATTTTTTGGTTCCAACTTTCAAGTCAAATGCATTTGATACAGCCACCGATCAACATCAGAGCTGACATTTTGCATGAATACAGCCAATCAACAGTCACATAAATATAAATAACATGCGTATAAAGACAATTATTGGTGTTAGAGTTGGTGGGTGGAGCAAAAGTAAATCTCTAATTTAAAAAAACAAACAAAAAAAAATCGAAGGCCATGAATTACTCTGTACTCATAAGCTTCAGCCCAGGTTAGCCCCTGTGCGTCCCCTTCCTGATTTGCACCAGGCATGTGCACCGCTGGCACACATGCATTACATTTTATGACGCTACCCGATTTGCCTTTCTTTTTACCACTTCGTATTGGCGGACTGACTTGGCGTGTTTAATGCTGAAACCACTATATAAGCAGTCTCATTCTCATTCCTATTTTAATGCTACTTAGCCTTGAGTTTCTTTCTATGGGTAAAAACACGCAGGTTAGAGCACAGGGAGACTAGATGGATATGGGCAAAAACTTGCTCGATGTTACTGTCATTTTGGCTTAGCATGAGAACATATCTATGGCTAAATCTCAAATGGCTCCTTTCTTCCTATATAATGCACTGCATAGAATATGAAATCATGGCTTCTACACGTAAAAAGTGTACTAAATGTTAGAGAGAACATTGAGCAGCTATAACTGAATATTATTGGTTTTCATTTAGACTCATAATGCACTGTTTGTGTTTGGAATCCATTAAATAATATCCTACGTAGTGTGTATTATATGGGGAGTAGGAAGCTGTTTTACCCAGCTTTCTTTATGCTTATAGTAGAACCCATGCAGGTGAAGAGTGCTATCTTACATAAAGCAAGATCACTCAGGTAGATAAGCTCTATGTTTTCACTGATAAACATGTAGGATAGCTTGCCACCCAAGCGGGGGAGGAGTGCACAATACACAGATAATTACTAGTGGAGAATATGGTGTGTTGTTATGGCTCAACTACGGTTTCAAACTGCCGTAAAATTCTCACACATATGTGGTACAGATTGGGTAGCGCCGGGTGATGCCAGCTTGGAAAAGCCAACTTACTGTTATTATTATCATTCTACAGTCAAAAATTTGTAACGCTACATCTCCTACAGTTTTTAAGCTAGAACCACAAAACTTCAGGATCATTGAGCCTATACCCAAATAGATTACTTGTGCTTTTTCTAACCAATTTGGCTTATGGTGTTTGTGCACCATTCATTGAAACATTATTTTTCTCCATAGTAATTAAGTGGGGAATGCTCGACATCCTAAAACTGAGTCATTCCACGTGTACAGTATGCTTATACATCCACCTCTTATTCCACCACAGTCAGTACAGTATACGCTCTATAGCCAAATGTTTTTGAGCAATCCTCTTATGTCACCGTAATAAAAGTATGCTAGCAACATCTTAGCAACCACCTGGCTTACCGTAGCAACAACCTAGCGACACTTCGCCAACCACCTGGGATAGCGTAGCAGTGACCTTTCAGCACCTTAGCAAGTACCTGGGATAGCATAATAATAGTCTAGCAACACCTTGGCAACCCCCTGGAACACCATAAGCAGTGGCCTAGCAACACCTTAACAACCACTTGAGATGCCATAGCAGCAGCTTAGCAAAACCTTAATAACCGCCTTGGATACTATAGCAATGGCCAAGCAATGCCTTAGAAACCACCTAGGAGTCTATAGCAACAGCTTAGCAGTACCATAACAACTATCTGGTATTACTATATAAACTCTGTTAAGTTATTGAAAACAATCTGAAGTGTTCTGCTACTGCTTTAACTTTTGAAGTGTTATTTGCTAGATTTTTCACTGGTAGTAGCACTAGTATCTTCTCAGAGGTGGTCTCATAGGGGTCTCTTTCCATTGACACATGGTCTACAGTCAGTAATTCAAAACCAAAATGCACCTATGTGGAAGGTGTTTCTGTTATATTGGTCAATGGTTGTACATACAAGGTGAGCACGATATGATTAAAAATCTGTGATTACACATTTTATCATTTTCACTGCCAAGTGATCCAGACAGAACCCGATTACCCGAGTAGAGTTTAGTTACCCTGGGTACCGAACTCACACGTGTAGATGGACCTTTAAAATAGTGCAGATTGATGGGTCAAATGCAGTCGTCACTAAATCGGCACACTTCACTGAAATCAGAGAACCACAATTTCTCAAACACTAGCTAGCCAGAATCGCTATCTGTGGGGATTCATGTCACCAGTGCGCTGATTTATAATGAAGCAAAGATGACAACATTTTTAAAAAGGCTAGGAAATTAGGCTCTTCATACAGCTCAACACTCTTGAAACCGTAGAGATATTGACCCCCTCATCTTCAACAGCACTGTGTCAACTGTGGCATCCTTCAGGTTGTCTGCAGGGACCTAAAGTGGGACACTAATTCAATCTCCCTCATGAAAAAAGCACTGCAGAGGATGAAATTACTGCATCAATTAAGGAAGTACAATCTTCCACAGGAGATGTTGACTAAATTCTGCAGAGCTATTATTGAGTCTGTCATTTGCACATCCATTAGTGTCTGGTTTGACTCCAAGCAAGACACAACCAGACTACAAAGGACTGCAGAAGAAATCATTGGGTCTGACTTGACCTCCCTCTAGGATCTGTACTTATCTCAGGTCAGGAGTAGGGCAATGAAAATCATTGCAGTCTTTTTACATCCTGGACACACTTTATTTGAACTTGTCCCATTTGGTAAACATTACAGATTGCTGAGAGCCAAAACACATAGACACAAGAACAGTTGCTTTTCATAAGCCATTAAAGTCATGAATACCCCTCATAAATACACCTCTCTTTCTATCATTTAATAAAAGTTGCTAAGAAGCTGATCCATGCTTTTTGGTTTTTTTTTGTTTTTTTTTCACATATAGACTGATGTAATGCATTATTCACAAGATTACCTAAAACCACTGTAGACAGAATGTAGACAGAGATTATCAGGTGCTGCTTTATTGAAAGTCTTAAAGCTGAAGCATAAAAAGACATTTTTATGCTGCATGAAGCAGCTTTTAGTTACCATGTAACCTGCCATCAATATCCTGTCTAATATCAGTATTACATATCAATATCCATCAGGCTCCTACCATTACAAGTTTTAAAAAGCAGCTGAAAACAATTTTAGCATTTTATTAGTTGTGTTTTTGTTTTATATTGTTCCTATATCTTTATTTTTAATTTTGTTAATTTTGTCATATTGTTTTCATTTTTGTACTAATTCTGTGGCCTTTTTTATCTGTTTAGTTTTATGTTCTTTTAATTTTATGCCTTCTTTTCCTTTTCACTGTTTAATTACATCATTCTGTTGTATTTTTTATTATTATTATTATTATTATTATTATTATTATAACACACCCTCCAGAGAACCTTGCCTACTTTCACAAGTATTGTTGTGTGATGGTAAATGGACAAAGATACTTATCAGAGTAGATAGTTCTGGGTTTGGATTAGTGACCATAACCGTCTGGTGGAAAAGCATCTATATTGTGAGATGCGAGTAGCTTGTGAAAAGGCTTTCCATTCTCTAGCTTTGTGGTTATGGAAGTGAGCATCAGCATGATGTTGAAGGGTAATACAGTTCTACACCTGCATGCCGGGTGTAGGGTCTCTGTTCTCCCACACACCCTGCCTCAACCTCATTCCTTTCTTGCCTTCCCCTCTCTCTCTTGCTCTCTCTCTATTTCTCTCTCTCTGTCTCTCTCTCTCTCTCTCTCTCTCTCTCTCTCTCTCTCTCTCTCGTCTGTCTCTCTCTCTCTCTGTCTCTCAGGCAGATGGGACGGTGGAGGTAATGCGGCAGCACTTTCAGGAGGAGTCTTTGGAGTATGTCTGTAAGCTGCAGGAGATCCAGGAGAGGAAAAAGTTTGAGTGTGTTGAGCCTGTGAGTGCACACTTCAGCTTCTCACTATAGAAGAATTTTCTACAAACATCGACTATGTAAACGTGCATATAGATTTTATAGGTGATAGGTTTTATGTATTATCTTCACAGCCAAATTGGCCGATGAACAACTTTTCGGCTGATTTTTATTAGGCCAAGTGAACCAGTGGCATATACTACCACCAGTAGGGAGGGGAGGGCATTAGGTGGACGAAGGTTAGAAGAAGCCTTTTAATTGCTGCTAACGTAACAGAGGAGAATGCTAACCATTTCTGTTACGTCAGCTAACAGACGCCTGCACTACTAGCATTGCTTTTCCCTGTAAGGACTGGGATGTGAACAATTTGGTTTAAAACTTGAGCAAAGTTTTTATATCAAATACAATGCTTTACACAATGCACAGATTTTTAAGTCTTGAAACTATTGCCCAAACACACGAAAGGGAGCTGCTGAGCGTAAACAGATGCAAAATAGTCTTTTATAAAATATTTAATAAAAAATAACTGATTTGACTATTTATTCATTCGTAAAAAGTGCAACTGCTGTATATATGAATGTCCAACACATGTAACTCTCTCTCTCTCTCTCTCTCTCTCTCTCTCTCTTCTCTCTCTCTCTCTCTCTCTCTCTCTCTCGCTTTTTCTCTCATTCTCTTTCTACTCTTTCTACCACAGATGCTGGCTTTCTTTCAGACTGTATTCACTTTCTATCATCAGGGATTCGAGTTGGCCAATGATTTTGACCATTACAAGAGAGCTCTACAGATCAATATTCAAAATGTGAGTGCCAGCAGCTGCTCTTTGCTATTCGCTTAAACATCCTCCTTCTCAATCCCCTGAGGTTCGGTAATTGAATAATAATGTTTGGCAGAAGGGAAGTAATTGATTTCCTTTGAGTGAGGATTAAATTAAAGCCCATAAATAAAGCACTTGATGTAAATCAAAGAATGCTCCTGTTCCAGTAAATCTGAATGAGTGCAGTGGAAAGCTGTTAAGCTGGTTTTTAGACTGTTTGTCAGAGGAAATACAAAGTGAGCTTCAAACTCCAGCTGACATCTATTTCTTGTTTAGGTCTTCATCACTCACCACGATAATGCTTCCGTACCACTTTCGTCATGTTAAAGATAATAACATTTATTGACCTCTTCATGCTCTGCCCACAAATGTGTCCTTTTATAGCAACTGTTGATAAGTTGGAGAAGCTTTGCAGAACATGGGCAGAAGTCCCATTCAACTTAATGAGCAACTGTAACTCAGTTTTTGTCAAAACATTTACATTTATTTCTTTATTAATTTCAAATGTATTTTATTATGTATTTTGTACACTGATCAGCCGTAATAATGAAACCACTTCCTTGTATCTACACTCGTCCGTTTTACCACTTACCATATAGGTGCACTTTCTACAGTTACAGACTGTAGTCCATCTGTTTCTCTGCGTCGTTTTTAGCCCCATTTTACCCTGTTCTTCAATTCTTCAGGACCCCCACAGAGCAGGTATTATTGGAGTGGTGGATCATTCTCGGCACTGTGGTGATGGTATGTTAGTGTGGGTTGCCCTGATACCGTGCTGCTGGAGTTTTTAAAACTGTCCATTAACTGTCCACTCCATTTTCATACCTGCGTTGACCTTGAGGTGTTTAAAAACTCCAGCAGCACTGCTGTGTCTGATCCACTCATACCAGCACAACACACACTAACATGTCACTATGTCAGTGTCACTGCTGAGAATGATGCACCACCCAAATAATACCTCCTCTGTGGTGGTCCTGACTATCGTTGGTTAGCAAAATATGCAGAAAAACAGATGGAGTACAGTTTGTAATTGTATAACTTAAAATATTATTTGTTCTGTAATTGTTTTTTTGTGTAATCAGACTAATGCTTGCAAGAATTGGTGGCAAATTGTGTATTGTTTCCAATCTGCCCATCTTAAATCAGTTGTAACAACATAGTGAAGCTCAACAGCATAACCTTTTGGGGGCTGTAATGAAAGCAATACATTTGGTTTTGAGAGGATGAGTTTGTGAGTCGTGCAGCTCAGCAGAGTAATATCCACGTCTAAATTGTTTTGTCATGTGCGCTAATCATTTGCACTTACTAATTAAATAATGAATGCCGTTAGTTTGTTTAAAGTGCTGTTGTTATTATAGCGGGGCAAGTCAGTCTGCGCAGTCAGTGTGAGCTTAGTTTCACCTGCAGTCTCGCTTACACGCTTATTTGTTCTTGGTCAGGAACTTTGCCGCAAAGGAAGGAAGATGGTGAGATAGGAAGCAAAAAAACTTTAACATAATTCTGAGAGAGATGGAGTGAATAGGGGAAAATCAAAGGTCGTTGTTCTACTGCCCTTCCATTGTGTGTCTGACATATAGACCGGAAGGTTGAGGGCTGGCTTTTTATGTGCACACACATGCATGTGTGTTTATGGAACACTTCACTGCCGCTTTCTTAATTTGAATAAAATTAAGAGGTGTAGTTATGCAACACTGTTACAGCCTGATAGCAGGTACAATTGTGTATCCTGGAAAACCGGTTGTTTGTTCAAGAGCAATTTCCCAAAGAATTCTAGGACTTCCTTTGGTTTTCATTGGACATCTACCAGACTTCGTACTGTGATGTAACCATTAAACCGTGTGTGTGTTTTAGACGCGAAGTCGTTTTGAGGGAACACGCTCAGAAGTGTATGAACTGATGAAGAAGATAAAGGAGAATCCACAGGAATACAGGCAGACCAGCCCCATCAGCAGTGAGGGCTATCTCTACGTCCAGGAGAAACGTATGCCCCTCCGCTCAAACACACCCATGTGTACACTTTTATCCTTATATTGGAGCTTCATTAACAGCTGTGCTCTGGTCAGACAAATAAGAACAGTGTAAATTCCCAACTGTGCCATTAAATTCCTTCAGGAAATTAATCAGTAATTTATTTTTCACTGCATGTGAATAGGGTAATATTTTGAAACAATGGATATCACAATGAATCTTTGCCAGATGATTAATAATATTCCTAGTACTGGGTTTTGTGCTGGATGTTTAGCAAAGAGTTACATTTAGGAATGCAATATTAAAGTATTAAACAATTCATGTATTAAAACGTTTATTTGATTGTGAACAGAGTATCGAATTCTCATTATTTTATTGTTTATTCAAGAAAGCAATGCACTGTTATTATTGATGTTTTTCAAGTTATTTTTAAAGTACCAAATCTAGCATAAGTCCAGCTGCAAGCAATATATTAGGAAATGCTTCAATAATATCTTTCAGTATAGGGTTTAGAATGAATATGTAAAATTTTATGAATGCAGGTGTTCCAGAAACTGAGATTTTGGGTTCTGAATGTAAAGAAATGCTGATTTTAGGAGTGGTGGTTTAAAAATGCGCAGCTTGTATTAATGTTCTTGCTATTACAAGAAAAATATACATATTCTAATGTATATTTCTATACGAAACAAGATTTTTAATGCTGTATGACACAACATGTTTGTAACAATGTGGGCGGAGCTAAGCCTTCATTTAATTTGTAAAGTGCAGTTAGACCTGAGTGAAGCAAATGGACTCGGAGCACTGGAAAAAAAAATGTGTTGAGTTTTAAAATTAAATTCATCCAGAAATTAGAATAATTATCAATGAGACCAAAATAGTCTTTTTTTTGCCCTAAAGAAGGAAAAGTGATGGAGGAGTATTTTTTGCAGTAGTGGAGTATAGATAGTAAAAACAATACACTACTTTTAACCAAGTGTGCTGAGCATACATAGATTAATATAAAATAATGTCAAAGTAAAAATGAATTAGTAGCTAAGCAAATCAGAAGGAAACTTTCTGAAACAACAAGTCATCTGTTTACCACTGTCTAAAAATTCCATCCACTTTGTTCCCCTCTCTGTGTTTTTTGCACTGTTGATTATCAGTGATGTAGTTAATAACAACGTTCACATGCACACTAGACCTGGGTGATATTTAAAAATAATTAGGACAAAAATTTCTGGTTAAAAAAAAAATTGTAATTAATGATAATATGCAACCCCACACAAAACAAAACAAAACAAAAAACAGTACAAGTGGTGCACTGCAGCTTAGACCTACGTTTTATTCTACTTGAAGTTTATATGCTTATTTTGTACTTTAACTGTGTTAATGAAAACTTTTTAATAAAAAAAATCTCATACTACAAACATGTGCCTTCATAAGCTCCTTCTGGTGTAGATTTATGGCAACTTACCTACCCTACCTATACTGACGCTTGCTGGGGGAATTTTAAGCCGCAAGCAATTTCCAAAGGCATGACCACATGCTTTGCAAAATAAAATAAAAGGTATTTTCCATTGCTATAGCAGAGTCACTCTGGAATTCATATATAGATGCCTTTAAAAGACCAAGTTATATTTTCACAGTTTTCATAATATAACTCATCTGACCCACTTTGATGCTTAAGCTGTAAATAACACATTATGTGTACATATGATTTAATATTACATTTCTGTTTCCTGGTAGTAAACGGGCATCAGCAGCGAGTCACAATGAAGCAAGTTGAAGTTCCAAAACACGCTGGCATTTATTTTCAGTTTCATGCACTCAAGTTAAACTGAACATAAAGTAAAATAAGTAGAAGGTTAAAAGCCGTGCACAAGTAAAGCTAGCATTACAGTGTGTAGCAGAGAGAACTAACTAGCAGGTTCTTAACAGACTTCTCTCTCTCATAAGCAAAAAAAAGAAAACCCTGGCTATTGGGGGAGGCATGCCCGCATACTTCCTAAAGGAAGGTGAACCCCAATTTTCCAACATGTGTAGTGACCTGTTTAACCATAAATTAGTCCTCTCTAGTTTTCTGTCAGTTTCCCAAAACGCCAGTTGTCACCTTTTAAGCATTGTTATCAGGTTACTTGTCAGTCATCAGTGATATCCAGTTACATCGCCTTATCACCCAGGCCTAATGCACACCAATTGCTTGATATTAGTGTGGTATTGTAACTGATCATGATCATGTAAACAGCACAGCTCAATAGTCATAATCTAAAGTTCTGAAGAAAGTAAACCTGGACAAAAATACTTTTCCATATGATTTTTCTGATGTCATTCCAGCATGTTTTGTGTACTAACTGTGACTGCATAACGAACACTAAAATGTAACTTCCAGAAGTCATCACTTAAAGAGTCCTATAACCTCTGCAGGGCCTCCTCCGTTTGGCTCCAGCTGGGTAAAGCGGTACTGCACATTCGTCAAAGAGCAAAAAATCCTTCACATGGTCACTTTTGATCCCAAATCCGGGGGCAAGTTTGTGAGTGATGATCTTTTGATGTTTGTTTGTTTGTTTTGCTTTATTGCATTGGCAAAGTACAGTTTTCCAGAAGTACAGATTCTGTGACTGCAGGCTTTAGCATTTTCACGTTCTGTTCATGGAAAAATGTCTTTCCAGGGTGAAATGGAATCGGTCACGCTCAAATCCTGCGTGCGGAAAACCACAGACACTCTTGACCGGCGGTTCTGTCTAGATATAGAGATAACAGACAGGTATGTCATCTTTGGCCAATCGATATTTATGAGCATTTTGGTTTTTGTCATCCTACCTTTTGGTTTTTGTCATCTCATGTCATTCTTTATCAACTGGCTAAAGAAAGAATTGCATGTGCTGTCACATCTGCCTCTGGTCTAATCTGGTTTTCATTTCGGCCATTGGGACTGCACAATATATTGTTTGTTGACCGTTATCACAATACTGGCAATACTGAACTCATAGAACCTACAATAAGCAAATGACAAAAAACACCCCCTTGTATAACTGCCATGCCCCTTTCTGCCCCCTTTACACTAATGCCATGATGTCATCTGTAATCTCCTATATAAACTGTGCCAAAGACCACAAAAGTCAACACAAAGTCATCGTAGGGTTTATCACAAGTTGTTTATACACTGATTGCAGCTTATAACCCAAAACTAGACATAATCTCATGATGTTAAAAATGTCTAATTGTATCTAGGCAATCCAATTACAGTATAAAGTGAGAGATACAGTAGGGACTGAAAGAGGTGAAATAAACTCTTTAAAATTTTAATATGAATTTCAGAATTGTTTCATATATATCCCCCTTTTGATTTAATGGCAGCGTGCACTTGAACTGGCACATGCTCTAATCAATAACATTGACAAAAGCCTCTGATGAGTAGATCAGATCAACCTGAGAATCATCTGAACATGAGTTTCAGTGGAAGGAATCTGAATTTTGTGGGAAGACCTAAACATGGTCAATCTCAGAAATTTCCTGAATTTGAATAGTGACCTAGAAATGTAGAATATTGAATTTCTTCTTTCTTTTACTCGGTCAAAACCTTTCTTTGTTTTAAATGTTTCAGAATTCTAAAACTTTGTTGTTTCTTGGCAGGATTGAATGAATCCTAGATTTTCAAAGGGTTCTCAGACTTTTGGAGCCCACTGCATTAGAAAAGTCTTTTTTTTCCAGTGATAAAAGAGAAATAAATAAATAAACCTACTGTTGCACCGCCCCAAAATCCCCCTTGTTTTATTTGTTTTTTTGGGGGGTGGGGGAATTTGACCACTGAGTATAGTCCTTGTAGAGAATGTTGAATGCATGTGTGGTAGCGCTGCACAATATATTGGCTTTGCAATGCTGCTGATGAAAAAGCAATAGGCAAACTAAACATTTTCTATGATGCATTGAGCATCTTGGATGTTTTGATATATTGGGAAATTCACACGATGCAAAATTGGTAAATAATTTTGGTCAAAATAATGGCATATTGCAATCACAACATGTAACATTATCATCACAACATTATACTGTATGTATAGTCCAGAGGTGGAAAAAATAACAGAAAAACTGTTAATTGAAAGGTTCTTTTTGAAATTCTTATATAATTAAAAACATGGGGCTCAAAATATACTTGAGTGGATTTCAGAAAGTATGTACAACTGAACATAGTCAAGTATATATAAGTAAAAAGTAAGTGATATAGCAGTTAACTTTTTTTGGTGTGTGTGTGTGTGTGTGTGTGTGTGTGATGTGGTGTTGTGTAGTCATAATAGTGGTCCACTCCTTACACCAAGACAAATTGGCAGAGTTATGGGCTGTTTCAATGATCTGAAGTTAGTTAAATGTTTTCATAGAAACAATAAACTGTGTGAGAACTCAAATGATTGGCAACATTTTTTTGAAGGTACTTTGTAGGTCTAAATGGAAATGTAATGAGTAAAGAATATTTTTTCTCTCTCTTGGAAATATAAGTAGAAGCACTCTAGTAGAAGCACTAGTATTCAGCTTCAACAATTCTTCAACAATTCTTCAGGAAAGTGCAAAGGTCCAAAAATAATATGTACAGTATGGTAACAAAGTACAGTGCCCTGTTAATGTTATTGTCTTTATTCTATTGACAGACCAGGCACTGTGTTGACAGTACAGGCACTCTCAGAGGATGACCATAAATTCTGGATGCAGGCGATGGGAGGAAAAGAACCAGTGAGTGAATCAGTCTGCCTATTCAAGCTTAGACATTAAGGCTATATTCCAAGATCCATCCCTTTGTTTACTGACAAAACTTGGCTTGGCTTGTGACTTGGGTCAAATGTAAATAGTTTTTCTTTCTTTTTTTTATTCCCCTGATGTTCCACATGTCCCTCAAATAGAATTGTGGATCTTGCGGTTACAGTTAACAATAGCAATTCCTTGTTTGGATAGCATGGCTTGTGCAGCACTGTTCTGTTAAAAAAAGCTTGATGATTAATGTCGTTCATACAGGTGCACTATCTGGGGAGGACGTATTCAAAAGAAAGAGGAAGTAAGTCTCTTTTCACTGGCATAAAAGTCTTTCTTCTATTCTAAATTAAATTTAGCGTGCTCAGCACAAGAGAATATAACTTTGATAATGCCAGCAGCAGTTTTTATTTTAAACTTTATGGAATTGTTTAAGTTAAGCAAACTGGCAGAATCCTGCACATTTCCAACAAGGTCCTGTTCTTTTTTAAATTTGGAGTTAGCACTCTTTTCAGCAACTTTTGGAGCAGCTCTGGACGTATTGGAACAGGTATCAGCTCCGAACGTCTTAAAGTTATACTATATGTCCAAAAGTGTTCAGATACCCCTACTAATTAGTGAATACACTTGCAGTTGCACCCATTGCTGACACAGCTGTTCAGTTTCTTTGCACATAGAGCTTGTATAATCTCCATAGAAAAGGTACGTACAATAGAATGGAACTCTCTGGAGAAGCTGAACCTGAACCTAAGGTCACCATGCCCCATGCCAAGCATGGCTAGAGTATAAAGCCCCCCAGCTTTGGGCTGCGGAGCAGAACTGCTTTCTCTGATGAGTTGGGTTGGAGTTTGTCATCCAGAACTAATCACCTAACATCAGTATCTGACCTCCTAATGCTCTTATGGCTGAATGCAATCAAATCCTGACAGAAATGGTCCAACATAGAGACTGTTACTGCAGCAAAGAGGGACAAACTCCCTGTTAATACCCTTGATTTCAGAAGAAACATTGGTTGAGCAAGTGTCTGCACACTTTTGGACATACAGTGTGGCTGTGATTTTGTTCCTAAATATGCCAAGTGGACAGTTCTGTCCAGATAAAATTGATATCCTGGACAGATAAGATTTACAACCAAACAATCTGATAAATTTGCTTGTGTTGGCACTGATATCAGCTGCATATTATGTGCACCACCTGACATATTGATTCTGGAGCAGATAATTTCCTTCGACCAATGCTTGTACTCAATCATTGAATGCCTGTGGCAAATACATAAATTCAAACAGCAGCAAAAGCTTATTTGATTTAAGCATGTCACAGTGCTGTCTGAATGCAGTCAAACTGTCATAATGATGTTAATATGGATTTTCCTCTTTCTGCAGTTGATGCCCAGCTGGATGAAGTTGGCATGAATTTTGTGAGAAACTCCATCAATGCTATTGAGACAAGAGGTAAAATTGTGTATTTAAATTCTTGAATAACTCAAAAGCCATAAAAAAATTGGCAAGCCAAAACAAGTGTTACAGTTAATGCCATAGTGAGTCATAGCTGTGTCCTGACCAGTTCTCTGAAAGGAGGATGAAGTTGTAGACCAACAGGGAGCGAAGTTCAGAATGACAGGAAACTATATCAGATGTGTATCCATGACCCATGTACACCATTTGTAAGGATTTGCAAACCACAACATATGAGCCTAATTCAGTCTCCTCTGCTGATTTTATACTGGCAGAAATTTCATTTCATTAAGGTTTGGACACCCTTAGTCAAGTTACATGTTTTATTGATTTAAAAAAAAGTTAGGCCCATATAAGGTGTGCCTTTGTCATTTCAAAAGAAAAAGAACAGTACAAAACAGTTCAATCAAAGTAAGCTTTGTGGGGTTTGTAAGATATTCTTTTACTACAAAGTGCTCAGGAAGCAAAAGGGCCCATATCCTACATTTTTTGCCCCTGAGGTTCACTTATAACCTTTGTGCGGTTTTATGTAACAATGACAGTCATAATTAATTTTATTTGACCATTTTCCAAACTTTCTTTATCATTTGGAATTAAACAGGCTGTTCTTGTTACTGTGCTTTGGAGACCGATGTATGTAAATGAGCTCTGTTCCAGTTGGCTGTCTTATATTGTTCCTTATTCAAAAAGCAGACCGGACTGAACCAGTCCTTATAATGTCAGTATGGCTGGCTGGAGCTAAATGGATATAGGCGGGATAGGCAGATACATGTAAATGATCTGTTCTTTCCATGACATCACAAAAACAATGAATTCGAAATGGGTAGTTCTGTAGCATATATATATATATATATATATATATATATATATATATATATATATATATATATATATATATATATATATAATTTTTTTTTCAGCTAGATATAGATATATATGTATAGACTGTTTGGACTAGGGTAGTGAATGGTGCTTTTTGGAACATTTACAGTGGTTATGTACTACTTCACAAAAGTAAGGAGAATTTGGTTTTCCATGACATGGGCACTTAAAAACATAAAATGTGGCATTGTTTTATTTTAACAAAGCATGTAATAACCAAGGGTGCCCAAACTTTTGCATAAGACTGTATTCTTCTGGCTGAAACTGAAACTTGGGTCTCTGAGTCATCTTTTTGCTTAATTTTATCCCCAAAAAATCTCTTAAAACAAGTTTCCAGTTTGCATTGTCTCAGGAGGAGCTCAGCTTTGGCATTTGTAAACAGGATTCAAGGATCCAACAAAAGGGGAAAAAAAAGAGAATTGTAAATTGACAAATCAGTCACACACAAAACCACCTCAGTGAGCTTCTGTCTGTTCTGGAGTATTTCACACTGAAATAGTTTTTTTTTTCTGCCTCAGTTTGGTTTCTAGCACAAGGTAACTCAGTATAAAGTACAAATGCAGCAGCTGTTTGCTTATAGGATTATGCAGATGTGATGTTAAACATTACTTGTCAAGTATTAAGCTCAATTAATTCAAAGGCCATTTGCTGGATAAGATACATTTAGCCATTTAGAGTCATTTGTACCTAACTATGACAAATGTGCTTGAAATATATTATGCATATAAATATATATATATATATATATATATATATATATATATATATATATATATATATATATATATATATATATACATTACATACATGCACTGTGCACATGGAGACGGATGACAAATGAAAGAAAAAACAACAAAGAGTTTCTTAATCAGGTGTTGGGCCACTGGAAGCCACCAGAAAAGCTTCAGTGCTCCTGGGCATAGAATCTACATGTCTCTGGAACCGTACTGGAGAGGTGGAACTCTTCTTCCAGTAGATATCATCTCAGTTGATGTTCTGATGATGATTGTGGAAGTGCTATCTAAGAAGTTACCCCAAAATCTCACATAGGTCTTCAACTGGGTTGAGATCCTGTGAAGGCCATATCAAATGATTTACATCATTTCATACTCATCACACCATTCAGTGACCTCTCATGCCCTGTGGTTGGGGTGCTGTAATCCTGGAAGAGACTCCTACCATCAGTATAGAAATGTTTAATCATAAGTTGATCGGTCAGAATAACTTTGCATGAATTTGCAGTGACCCTTCCCTCTAAGGGAACATGGCCTGTACCATTCTCTTGGTGTACCCCACACATGCATTCACCCACTTGTGGAGAATATCATGAAGGATGACTCATCTGACCATATCACTATTTTCAACATCTCTGTAAGCCTGTATGATTTTTACAGCACTGAACTTACAATGTGCATTAGTCTTTGTAATAAAGAGTTTATGCACTACCACCCTACTATAATATCCCTCTCTGTGTAGTTGTGGATGGACTGTTCTTGCTGACGCAGTCTGGTCACATCCTGCATTAACATTCTCAGTCACCTGAGGAACAGTTGTTCTTTTGTTTTTCCTTACATATCACGCTGATGCCTGAGCACCATAGTCATGGAATGTGCGCCTTCAACCACAGTTTTCAACCCTATTTACTGATATGTTTCCGTAAATCTTACCACAGACGTGACTTTAGTCACTGTTCCTGTTGAAACATTCACCAGTCAAGCAGTGTTTGTGAAGTTCCTGCCATCCATGCCTCAATAATAAACCCTCTTTCAAAATCGCTTAAATCTTTTCCTCTTGTCATGTTGATCCAAAATAAAGCTCAGCTGGGCATACTTAGCATTTTATACATTTTACATGTTAATTGGTTGATTGTATCAAGCAGTACACCTGCCTGGAAGCATCCACTCTTATTATTTGACTCCACTTATTTATTCACTTTTTCCTTTAATTTGTCAGCCGTCTGTACATTATGCACTAAACTAATCAGGCTTATTGCCATGTCACTTTTCATTAGAATAAACAGAGCACTCAGTACTGCTAAAGCCAAAAATATATAGTCAAGTTTTCACCCCATATCATGAGTCAGTACACACTCAGAATCATCAGTAAAGCATCAGCAAATAGTTTATTAAATGTAGATACTCCAGAAATAACACGTGCTATGTCGTCAGCTTCGTTCCCTTTTTCAAACAAAGCAATACAAATACTGTTTTTGTATTCTGCCCTCTTTTGTTGTGTTGGCTCTTTTTTATTTTTGTTTGTGTGAAAAAGCATTTTGTAAAGTAAATTGAAACTTATTTTTTAGCATATTATAGTAATTTAGTTTTGAGAAGTTCCAGAATCATCACTAGCAAAATTGCTTACCTTACTTTCTCATTGTGCCAGGCAAGAATGACCACCCTCTCCACTATTATTCACATTGTTTATCCAAACACTTGCAGTGGCTAATCAGATACCGCTTGGAAAATGGGCCACTGACTTGCCTAAATTCTCTCCCTGTTTCTAGAAGACGATCTTACTCACATTCAAGTTGTCAAAAACAGTACAGCTCCTACACAGAACAGATCAAAGAATTATTTTTTCTTTACAAATACACGTACTTTAACTGTGCAGCACTGCTCTTGGTATTTTGATGAGGAACTCAAGCACATCTGCTGTGTAACTGTAGCTGAGCTGTCCAGTGGCTGGATCCATACACATTAGTGGAGCGTATTACCTTCCTTAAACAGTTTGATTCGAGAACATTCCTTTATATTGCTTTATATTATAATTGCTCTATATTTTAATTATAAATTAACATTTTTCCAGGAAAATGGAAGGACTTCCACTGATTCAGTTGAATTTCTGTATACAGCTTCCATTGTAGAGAATCTTACACTAAATGATGCATCACAGACAGTTATAATAAATGTGTTGCCTGATGCCTGAGACATTATTTATATATCCAGTGAACAAGTATAGGTTCACTGGTCATTTACGATAGATTAGGGTTGCAGTCACTGTGACCCCTGGTTTCTGTGGCCACTGTTGTAAACAAATGTAGGTTGTTAAGTTAGCTTTTCTACAGTGAACTGTTTCACAGCAAAATTACTTTATGTCCCAGGGATTGAACTGTGCAGAAATCTTAAGAATTGTTGGACTTCTCCTTTAACTCTATACTCAAACTTGTAATTGTGTGATTTGCCACTAGAGGGCAGAATCAGCTCATAATTCTGTCTTAACTGTCAACCTGTTGTGCTCGATTCACAGTAAAACACGCTTCGCTGTGATAGATTGGAGAATGATACAGTGCTGATTTGGACTTGACTTTCTGACAGGTTCTGTTACTAAAGTTGCTGTTAATCAGTGTGCTTATAACAAATTTTAATCTCCTTACAGGTATCAATGACCAGGGCTTGTACAGAGTGGTTGGGGTCAGTTCAAAAGTTCAGAAGCTGCTCAGTTTAATGATTGGTAAGTTAAGCTCTTATTTGCTGCGTCTAATCTTTATTTATCAAGAAAACTCATGCTCCACCCACTTTTGTGGGTGCTGTTGCTGGGTTGGGCAAGCATTACAGGACACTGTCAGAAAAAACACTGCTGAAATTATAAGAATGTCTGTAACAAAAGCCATCAGTGTAAAAATGAAAAACCAAATCTATAATATAAAAGATATCAATACAAAATATGACAGAAAATCTATAACATAGAAGCTATTAATACAAAATATAAAATCTACAGTATGAAAGTTATCGATACAAAATATAAAATCTAGAACATGCAAAATATAATGACAATCTATGACATAAAAGCCGTCAATACAAAATATAACAAAAAATCTATAATGTAAAAGCTAACAATGCTGTAACACAAAACTTATCAATACGAAATATAAAATCTGTAACATAAAAGCTACCAATACTGGTACTCATCATCATGTTAAACCCTTGCATAATTAATTTAAAAAATAATGTTATCAGTATTAGACTGAAGTTGAAGAAGTAAAGTTTGAATGGTGCTCATTGGCATTCAGACACTTCTCCTGTCTGTGCCTCTCTCTCTTTCTCTCTCTCTCTCGCTCTCTGTCCCTGTGTCCTGTCCTTGCAGGTGACACTTGGCTCTATTGCTGCAGGCTCGCAATCAGATTTCCATCCGCTCTCCGCCGCTCCCTCTATTTCTTATTTCTCCATTTCTCCTCTATCCCACTGACTCCTTCTTTTCTGAGCCCTCACCCCATCCCTCTTGCGCTGTCCGTGTTTGTAGTCTCCTCCTTGCTTTCATGCTTTCAGTTTTTTATTTTTCCCTTACTCCCTCTTCTCCCTCTCTATTTCGATCTATCTTTCATTGTCTTTCTCTCTCCTTCATTCTCAGTTGTCTGTTTTTTCTATCTCTTTCTTTCTCCTTCAGTCTCAGCGCTCTCTCTCTCTCTCTCTCTCTCTCTCTCTCTCTCTCTCTCTCCCTCCCTCCCTCTTGCAGACAGAGCCCTAGCCCTCAGCTCTGTGCTGTGAATGTTAATAGCTGTGTTGAATCGGCAGGCTGCTGAGCTCCTACTGTTACCTGAATCCGTCCACTCCAGAGTTTAACAGCCATTAGCCTTGTCCACGCAAGACCACACATAGAGACTCGCAAAAAGTGACTTTAGTCTCAAATATGGTGTCGGCTGACCACCAAAGCAGCCATAATGCTACAGCTTTGAATCTTGCTGATGTTTAAGATTGAAGGACATCTAACAGGTCACTAAAGGTAGCTGTGCATTTAAGCAAAACTTTTCTGCTTAGCACCCACCAAGGAGCACCATACATCATCCACATGCAGACCAGTCAATCTTGAGGATACCCTTTATTTCTCCGATTACTCTTCTAACAGACAGGAAAAGACTTTTATTTTATTTTAACAAACACCAGAGCTGTACAACACCTAATGCAAAGGTTGCCACGATCTTAATGTTTCCTATTAGTTGTTGTATGGAAAATTATATTTAAATATCATTTTTAAAAGCAATAAAAGTTTTCAGATATTAGTTATATACAAGGATTATGTTATGATCTATTTAAATCCTGGTCATTAATTAAGATATTAATTTATCATTTATAGTGGTCTGTAATGCTGTCTCATGTTTTCATGTCACTACTGAAACACGAGTTCAAACTGTCATTAAACCAATTGATAGATTTGGGTTTTATCCTGTTAAAGGCCAGTCAAAGTTAAGAAAAAAGTTGAAAGTTAAGTTAAAAGTAGTAGGTTGTTTTTGGTCTTAGTGAAGGCAGATGTGAAGTAACAAAGTGCACGTATCCCTGTCTGATGTTTAACCAAACAAAAGAGCACCAGTATGTGTGTTAGTAGAGTAATGATAAAAATCTCCTGTAACGAGTACTTTGAAGGTCTAAATGAAGTTGTAAGGAGTAAAAAGTATGTTTTATAAGTAAAAGTACGGTTGGTATAGCGTAGTGGGTAACATCTCTGCCTTCCACGCTGTGGGCTGGGGTTCAATCCCCGCCTGGGCAAACACCCTACGCTTTACCAATAAGAGTCCCTGGGCAAGACTCCTAACACTACCTTCGCCTACCTGTGTAAAAATGATCAAATTGTAAGTCGCTCTGGATAAGAGCGTCTGCCAAATGCTGTAAATGTAAATGTAATCAGTAATACTCAAGTTAAGTAATCTTCCACAGTAACACAGTACAATTAGCCAACAATGTTGTATGACACCAGTATCAGTGCCCTATATTCAATATATCACACAGCTCTAGATTAGGCCTAGTGACCAGCGACTGCAGTGTTTTGGGTTTGATACTGGGTGGGGATCATGGGGAATGGACCTCAGACTGCAGAGTTGACCATTTCTTCCCACTGAGCACAGCTGTTTAAGCAAGGCACAGAAACCCAAGTTACCCCTCATCTGCCCCTCAGCCCTCAGGGTGCATTTAGAAGTAAGAATATGTTCCTGCAGTTCTCCTCTCCTCAGCTATCCAGACAAACAAGGGTATAAAGTATTGGACACAGGGGTGGTAATGGGGGGCAGACTTTTTTAGATTTTCTTCTTCTTCTTCTTCTTCTTCTTAATCTTCTTTTCCTTACTTCTTTCTTATTCTCCCCTACCTCCCATCTCCTTCGTCTTTTCCTTCGTCTTCCTCCTTTTTCTTCTTTTCCTCTTTCTCCTCCTTCTCAAATTTTTTCTTCTTCTTCGTCCTGTTGATCTGTGTCTCCTTTTTCTTTTTATCCTGAGTTCTCTGTCCTCCTTTTTCTTATGTCTTCATATCCTACTTCTTTTTTCATCTACTTCTCTATTTTCTTCTTCTCCTCTTCTCTTTTCATCTCCTTCTTTTCTTTCTTTTTTTCCATTTTTTCCCAGTATTTGTGTAAGATAAATGATGAATACAATGTTATAGAGACATTTTGCTCATCTTCATCAAAGATGCCAATATCACTGGAGGGCACCATGTATGCTGTTGTGTGTTGCACCAAAAAGCTTAATCAAGTAACTCTAGATTTGCAAAGTGGCGTGGCGTGTCTGTTAGAGCTCGGAGCTTTCGCACAGGTTAAGTGTTAAATGTTTTCTTTCACACTTCTTCATTGGTGTGAATTTATTTGATGTTTGGTTTTAAAAGGTTACCTTTATAACACAGAAATGATCTTCTCTGACCGTGTCCAGTATGAATGAGCGAAAGCGCTGACATTACCATAGTAACGGCAGTGCCGAGTAGCTCCGAGAAGAAGTGGTCCTATTCTGTAAACATCGTGGCCAGGCAGCTAGCACAGAAGAACTACACTGGGTTGAGTAACTGCCTTTAAATGAGTTCAGCAGTTTAGATGAGGTATCATCGTGGTCATTTTAAAACTTTACAGCTCCATGTTTTTCAGTACTTTTATTTATATTTTTTGTTTGCTTGAAAACACCATTAGGAATATGAGATTTTGTTACAACAGCGACAATATGTACTTGTCTGCCAGTCTTTTTCTTGCTCTTCTTTTTGTTCTTTTCCCCCTCTCTCTCTCTCTCATCCTTCTCTCTCTCTTTATCTCACCTTCTTCACACTTTCTTTTTTCTTCTCCCTTCCTGTTTTTATTCCTGTCCTCCTCTTCCTTTTTAATCTCTTGACTTCCTCTCACCTCTTTGCTCTACCGTTTCACACTACCTGCTGAGTTGTGAAAAATAAGAGACCCTTGCGCTGCCTGTTTACCTTTTCCATGAATGTACAAAACAGAGTTTTTTTTACATGATGATTATACATATTTTGAATTCTTCTCGAATCAGTCGTCAGGAATGAAACTTGGTGCGTAGGTTTGACATCGTGAGACATGCGAATGATTCAGGTTTCACTGTCAGACGTGCATGTGACTTAAGCAAGCACGGGCCTTATCACTGTACCTGACTGACTATATAAGGTCATTTCGTTGCACGTGCTATCCATTCTGACTCGTGCTGTTGTGTGGGTAGCATCCTTTGCAAGCGTTCGAAAGCTATTCGAGCAGTTGGAAGAGTTCGAGAGGAGTTGCATCGTAGGGCTCCTGGAAGCGGGATGGTCTTATCAATGTATTGCGCACCATACCAGTCGTGCGGATATTACCATAGCATGCTGTTGGTGGCAGTGGATAGAAGAAGGCACGCACCAGTGACATGAAGGATCTGGGAGATCTACACGAACCACAGAGAGGAAGAACCGACAGATTGTCCGGCATGTGCGGAGTGACCCAACAGCCACGTTTCCGGACATTCAGCAAACAGTGATGCCCTCTATGAATCATCCTCTCAGTGCCAGCACCATTAGCAGACGGCTGCATGGTGCAGAACTACATGCAAGCAGGCCGTTACGACGACTGCCTTTAACACCACTTCAACGCCACCAAAGACTGCAATGGTGTCGTGCCAGAATGTCATGGAGTGACTGGCAGCGGGTCATCTTCAGTGACGAGTCCTGCTTTTGTCTTGGTGGAGGCGACTAACCAATCCGTGTGTGGAGGCAGCGTGGTCAGCACCAAGATGAACGGTTTATTGTAACGCGTCCAGAAGGCCTGGTGTCATGGTGAGGGGTGCAGTTTCGTACGATGTGCTGTCCACACTCCATCCCTAACACAAAATCTACAGGAACTTCGTGAGAATATTTAGGCTTCATGAAATGGATTATCGCAGAGCACCATTAGGAACCCCGACGCCATACTGAGAGACACTACTTCTGTATGTGTAGTTCAATAAATATTGCCCATATTAGTCTAAATTTTTAATCATTTATTGTTCCTGGTAACCTTTATCTTCCTCCCAAATATGAGTGTATATTTTTTGACATTTAAGGCCACCTTTGCTGGGCCACCATCACATTGCAAAGAATTTAAAATTTGAATAAAATTTGAGAAAAATCAAATGTGATGCAATTTCTCAGCACAGTGTGCCACTCAGCATTTTGCTATTACTACATTAAATTAAAGCTAAATCAAGGCTACAGTAGATCACACATGGCTTTTAATGTGGCTTTAAACAGTATCTTAGATAAACAGACAAATGCTAATGTCAAGTTACCTCAATTAACGTAACTAACCTAGTCCTTTTTTTTTCACCTGGACAAAAGCCAATTTGTGAAGAGGTAGTAAACTAGTGCCAAGTGTCATAAATTATGTTAATTTTTATTTCATTAGTTTTATTGTTTTAAATGTTTAAAATTAGAGTGCAAAAATGAACTCGAACTTGCTCTCACCACGATGCATTCCATGCAGTACAGCAGAGCTCTGCTATGTGATACGAATCTGCACTGTGCAGCACGACATGTCTATTGTGCAGTGGCCTTGGAGGCTCTATTTTTCGCACCCACACAAGTGCAGTCTTGTAGCGTAATGCCTGCATTGTACAAATTTAGTTTAATTCAAGCCCATTCTTGACCATTTGCTATTTTGTAGGTCACAAATAAAAGCAATTGTGAGAATGTGGATGGAGTAGTGCAACAGGAGGTGAGACTGAAGTCTGAGACTTTCAAGTCTGAACGTGCATGGCTATTTTTAAACTCATTTTGGTCCAAATACGCCTCTTCAGGCCGACTCTTAACACAAACACACATGCACACATATTTTCCCAACTATAAGCACATGTGTAAAGAAGTGTCCAGTTCCTCCCATTCTGTGGATAAATGCTCTTTGTATCAATCTACTTAGATATCAATATAGGTAACTTCTCCTAATTACTAATGAAATACAGGTGATATCTTTATTTTTTCAGAACAAATAAGAAAAAAAAATGGTAGCTACTAAATGAGAGCCAGACATGGCGTCATTACGTGTGGAACATAAAATCAATGTAATGTTTAACAACAAAAATGTGATTGGCTAAGCCACGTTCAAAGCTGTACACATATGACTGCCTCACAACAACTACGCCTCTTTGCGAAAAATTCATGTGCTGTTATTGGAATACTCTTTGACTCTGATGCTTCTCGTGTGGATAACCGAGTGTATTGATGAAGTAAGAACCCGCGTCTGTTAAAACGGAGTGTCTGACAACTCATTTTCTTAACTAGAACTAGGCTGGTCAGCTAGCTAACGGGCTTAAAGATAGCAAACACGCTAAACAACTCAAATCATTAACATCACAGGCTTGAATGAAATTACATACAATATGATTCACTGTAAAACTGCTGTATAAAAATCTGAAGACTCACTTTGAATGGATTACATACTTCATAAGTCTGTGTTTCTGTCAGAAGTAGCATCAAACCCAGGCTCGATCTCAAATGACTCTGTACTCTCTAAATAGTGTGCTTGGGAACTTCTATAGCCAAATAGTGCACTATTTGTATTGAGTATGAATGTGGCTGAATCTTAAGTGACTTTTTTTTATCTGTATTATGCTGTTGGGTGTAGAATTTAAATCCCTACATAGTGCATTATGTAGGAAGCAGGAAGCCGTTTGAGATTCAGCCACAGTGTGGGAAGTACTGTTAGATTGATGCTAAACACGACTCGTAGTGGTAATTTGGTGACCAAAAACCACATATAAAGCGAAGGTTTTTGCATTAAACAGTGCTATGTTATAATATGTTTGCTGTTATATGACAAAAAGTTAAAAAGCTTATGAAATGACTGCCGTATGCAGTGATGGGCGAATGAACGTTGTTCTCTGCTTTCAGTAGTACATAGTTGCTTGGCAACAATAGTATACTCTAAAGGAACTACATTTCTTGGCAGAATAATTGTGTTGGTCAATTATTATTATTATTATTATTATTATTATTATTATTCATAGTAAATTATTTAATATTTCACATGATCATTATCATATTTTATGTTGGCTCCTGTTTTATAAAAACAGCATTACTGCAGTTTTATTACAAGGAAGAAAGTTTTAGGCACTCTGCTTTCAATAAAATATTTCAGGATCTTTAAAAAAGGCTGTACATGTTTTGTTATTGTTTAGTTCAGTCAATTTTTAATGTTTGGCCTTTTAAAAAACTTTGATTGAAGTTTAAATTTGATTAATTGTGAAAATGATCAGTAGATTTCTTCATTGCTAATATAACCGTTATCTTATATTAGTAATCAAGCTATCTACTGCCCTAGTTTTCGGTGAAGCCATTTTTTGGATGAGTTGTTAATTACTGTACTGTAATCTCAGTCTGAGTCTATCATTTTTATGTCCAGTTAACCTTTCATCTTTTCTTCTTTTTCCCCCTCAGATGAAAAGAGCAATGATGTGGACTTGGCAGCGTGTGAGGAGTGGGATGTGAAGACCATCACCAGCACTTTAAAACTCTACCTGAGGTAGGAGTCATACTGGACTGAGCTATTTCAGGCTTGTGGTGTCTTTCTCAGTTTTCTAAAAATGATGAACATTACAAGCAGGGCTACAACAACTAATTGATGTTATTGATAATTTCGATAAAAGAAAATTGTTGACAATGAATCACCAGTTGACATTATGATGTGCCTTTAACATTACTTGATTGAAAAAAAAATATGGAAACATTTCAATTATAACATTATCTAAAAAAAGACTATAGGGTTGCAAAACTGAGCTCAACTTTGACAGCAGCGCAACTGTCATGCGTGAGGATCAAGAGAAACACATTCACAGCAGACAAATGACAAAAAACTGCAGTAAAACTAGTCAAAAGTTGTTTTGGTTTAGCAAAATAAATAAAATGAACACAGTTGGCTTGAAAGGATGAGCTGCGTTTGTGTCTGAACTACACAACTAAATTATATTTATTCGGTGCTAGTGCACTAATGCACACTGACCCACTCGTCCACTTAGACATGTTTTTAAAGCACACTTTCGTTCTCCGCGTTTGGGTTTTAGGTCACTGAAATCACTGAAAGTTTTCCCAAAGACAGGTGAATCAGGCTTCTACCCTGAATTTACATCATGTGTGATTCTACAGCAGCAAACTAGAAGTAAACTTTTTAATTCTTGTTTGTTACCACATAAAATGCTTAGTGTAGCTATAGATCCAATCCTTCGATCCGAAGAAGAGTATTGAACAGAGGAATAAATGTAAAAAGAGTCTTGTTAGCAGTAGAGTTGGTTTCATTTTCACATATATGAATTTGTTCTTCAGTAGTTTTTGAACGATGGGTGAAAAATGTTAAAGTGGCTAATTCATCATTTTTAGTAACTAAAACACCGATATGAAGCATGTGAGCCGGTACAGGCCTTTTAGCAGATAGAAGACAAATGATGGTCAGTCAGAGTTTTAGGAATGTCTAAAACGTATAATCCGTCATTTAGCTTTATAAAACAGTACAGTTTTCCTGTTTGCTGTGTATATGTATGTGTACATTTATTCAATTATATGACTTTAAAGAGATAAGTAATACAAAAGTAATGGAACGTAATCCGATTATATTACTTTAATACAGTAATCCTTTGGTTACAGATTACAATTTTAACAGGTAATCTGTAATCTGTGCTTGAATACATGTTTAAAGTAACCCTCCCAACTCTGGTCTTTTTTGCCAGTCATTGTTTATTTAGTGTCTTACCCAACAAGTGCTGAGTTCTTCTCTTGTAATTACAGGCGTTTGAGTGGATGCAGTGGTTATTTGTAAGTGTTGTTGCTGTCTGAAGTGTCATTGTTTGTCCTTTGTGGCAGTTTGTATAAACCCAACCATAAATCACACTTGCAGTTTAAGCTGACTGGGGACTTTAGTTTTTAAGCTAATTTTCAATTAGCTTTTACTTTGAGATAAAAACAGCTCATTAACCTTGGTCAGATTAATTTTTCATTCAACACCAGACCTGAATCTCATTCTTCCAGTCGGGACTGCACATATTATACTGCATGACTAGTTGAGAAGCATTTTACTTACTGGTATATATACTTTTCACTGTTGTAAATTTGCACATTCTGTACTGCATCGCTCTGCTACATTTGTGGCCTTTAACTCAGACAGTATTATTTTATATTGATTGCTATGCTGCACTTCTTCACTTTATTGTTTACCTTATAGTTTATTGTGGACTTGCAGACACACAGAGCTGTGCTACATCCAAATACCACTAACTCTGTCGAGTGGAAAGTGTCTTGAATCTTCACTATTTGAAAGTAGTTTCCTGAAAAATCTTTTGGCCACTGAAAGTCCAGGCCATTCTGAGAGGCAAGGACTCAAAAGAAATAAAGGGCAACAGAAATGTGAATTATTAAACATAGTGTAATTTACAGCATATTGTACCCACTCATATCAAGAGAGACAGTCTGTTTCAGAAAAACACAGTGTTTCAAAAAAACAAAACAAAACTGGCTTTCCTATCCAAACAGGAATTTGAGCCCTGATCTCCAGCATACAAAACTATAACGTTTCCATATATATATTTTTCAATTGCTGTGGCTCTTGGAGTTGCAACTCTGTTTTAAAGCTACACAGAATCTGGCATAAATCCCTGTTTTGTACAATAACACAAACTTAGTGTAGTGTTGTTAGCAACCCTTACTGCCATTTGTTTGCATGTTCTAAATAACCACATTATGTAATGTGACACTTTCTTGAATAGATCATCACTGCTTTATTGGTAAGATTTGTAGCACTGTGGTCAAATGTGCATCTGTAACAGGTCAGTTACTGAGGTGAAATCTTTCCACACTGCACAATAGGGGACGAAGCAATAAACCTAATGGAACCTGATAAAGTGTTGATAATCTTTCCAAAAACAGCTTTTCACATTGAGTACAGTTTGACCTAGTAAACACAACACCTTCATGGTTGGAATAACGACATGTAAAATGGAACCAAACCGAATCTCTAGCATCAGGACTACATATTATAACACAACAAAAGGGAAGCTCCGCTTAGATCACTACGTTATTTGAAGAGCTGTGCGATATTGACATAAAATTCAATGTTTGATAAAGCTGTTGGATATCACTCATGATAAATTATTACTGTGTTTTTGACTGAAAGTTAGGCAAGAATAGCTTTTTTTATATGTGTAAATAGAAATCTAAGTAACCTTTACTTTGTTCAAATAGAAAAATATAAAATTACAAAAGCACCGTTCACTATTGTGCTAAATAAAAAGAAAAGACTTACGAACAGCTGTTTCCATCAGAACTGCAAGCACTTTTTGGCTACCTTTACACAGCACGTAAAAGTCCAGTTGTCTTACCAAATCCAACTATTTTGTAAGGCTAATCACCATATCTTTTAATGTGATTTACAGTCAACATTAGTCTAAACAGATCACGCTCTTAAACTGACCCTCATGCGCAGAAGAACAATGCTTCACGTGGCACACTCATCCAATGGTAAGCAGTCAAAATGGAGTCAACATTAACAACACTCACCTAAAGTTAATGCTCATGTTAATGTGCAGTGGAGGTTTCAGTTTCATCTTCGCAATCGTCACAGGAGCTATCAAGAAATTTCAGTGGCTGACAGCTGGGCTTATCACCTAGAATGCACTTGAGCTTGCTGAAAAAAAAAGGGGGCAGTTTATATGGCTGCTGCCACTTCTTTGGTTCCCGTCCTTGGTTCCTTTACATTTTGCTCTGAGACTTAAATTGGCACTGTAGCCGCTTTCTCCTATGGCTGTGTTTGGCCATTTTTTCTAAATCTCTTTGAGCACAGAGCATTTGCGATAAGTGTCTTGTAATTTTGTTGTTACAGAAACTTCACCACAAATGTTTGTTATGTTCTGTCTTGGCAGCACAAAATTGTTAAGAGTTGGATTGACGTAAAAGTCGCTTGATTTCTAAACTGGAGTCGCATTACACTGTTAGAAATAAAGGTGCTGTGCAGGTACATTTTCCGTTTGTTATGGTACGTAAAGGATATAACAGTGGTTTTAAGGTCCAAATGTGTACCTTAAATAAGTTTTTTTTTCCCCCAGATGAGAAGTACATATTTGTATCTTTTCATAACCTAATGTTTTAAAAAAAGTAAAATAAAAGACTGGAGACGAGACGGGGTGTGTGGAGCCAATACAACTTAGAAAATATAATTTCAGTGGATTATGGTACAATTATGTTCCCTGGCTAAAGATACTGAGATATACCCTTGAGGGTACCACCCCAGTGGCAAGCGGGTACTGCCCCAGTGACAGTTTTACACCTTTTTTCTGAGAGTGTAGCGCACACAAGGACATTGTTTGTTTGTTTGTTTAGTTATTAAACATACTTATGACAGTCGCCATTATCTCGCACACTATAAACACAATACTCATCCTCTCATTAGGCTTCTAACTGTTTGTGCACCAGTGATACGACATCTCTCTGGCGCTGTGTGTATGAAATTTGATTTCTGTCATTACAGCTTTTAATGATGTGTTTATCGCAGAAACTCATATCGCAGTAACAATAAAAATATGATTTATTTTGCAGCCCTAGTTATTTATATTATTTACAATTTTTTGTGAGCTTCTGGTGTTCATTTAAAAACAAGTTTAACAAATGTGACAATTGAAAGCTGACATACACTACATTCTGTGAACATCGCATCCATCTAGGTCCACATCTCTGTCTGGACCTCACTTGGTGCATGGGAACATTGCCATGCTGAAACAGGAAAGAGGCTTCCCCAAACTGCTGCCACTGCTTGAAGTGCAGTTCTCTAGTATGTCACTGTATGCTGTAACATTAACATTTCCCGTTCCCCAAAACAAATGGGCCCAAACCATGAAAAATGGCCCATTATTCCTCCTCAGCTGTATTTAAAGTTAGCACCATGCATTCGAGCAGGCTGCATTCACGCTTAGCATTGCACAAGGTGGTCTTAGGCCTGTATTTGTCAGCTCAGGCCTGGAAACCCAATCCTAAATAACAGTTGTTGAGTTGATATTGCTTCCAGAAGCAGTTTGGAACTCGTTAGTGAGTGTTGCAACCGAGAATAGATGTTCTGTGAGCTTGTGTGGCCTGCTGCTTCACGGCTAATGCCAGGCCCACACTACAAGGTAATTGGGCTGATTTTGAGGCCAGTTTGCTCCTTCTGACAGTTGCAAAAGGTCTCCCAATATCAGGGTGATCCTAAATGATGATCTTCCCAGATTGTCCTGTGGTGTGGGGTTTGTATAAAATAAAATCTTTACTCCTCCGATCTACTCCCAGTGCAGTTGGTGCTGTCTGAATTGTGAATGTTCAACATTTATGAATCAGTATCCTGTAGTGTGGGGTGGACGCCAGTTCTGTGGTGTGAAATTTGTTAATGTCATGCCTAAAAGACCGTCAACTAATGAGAGCTGACCTGAGCTGAACTTGTCAGTGTGTATGGGAGAAGTTGTAAGCATGGTGGCTAAATCAAGATCTAGTCACCTCATGTGTGTTTGTATATGTATGTATTCTCCTCAAGTTTGTGTTCCAGTGTGTATAAGTCCCCTTCTTTTCAGCTTCATCCACCACCTGTTGGAATAGATTTTTTTGACCACATAAAATTACTACATCAGCTGATATTATCAAACTTGGTATCAGTGATATATCTGTTGGGCCCTATTTGAGAGTCATAAGCGTCTTTTGTCTGTGAACCCACTTCACCTTTTCTCACAAAGCAGAAGAAAGCTGGGAAATGAAGAAGGAAATATTTCTGCTCCTGGATGGAGCACGAGGAGAACGTGGGAGCCACGGTTCGGCCCTTTGTTTTTGATGTGTGTTTGGTTATGTTGACTTAGCGTCGTGAGAGCCAGAGCAGAATCACACACTCAGGCCTGTCCTTCCACCGCTGGTGAAGAGAGGAAGGTTCCGGAAGCCACAGAGAGCCGTGTTGTCATTGGCCTCTCTTGACTGAGCCTTCACACAGGAAGAGCTTTGATATTGAGGTCTCGAGGTCATGGGATACAAGGCTCTTTCCATCTAACGTCTCTAAGAACTAGAAACATTCATATAAAAGCATGAGCTCGATTTGGTTGCTTTTATCTTGAATTTTAAACATGCTGAAGAAATCCTGTGTAGACTCATTAACCCATTAATGTCCAGTAGTGTTTTCTTTTAGTGCTTTGAGCTCACCTGAGCACAAATCGAAAGAATATTTTCAAATTTGATCAGACAGTTTGGCTAAAATTTAGTTTTTATTACTTAAGTTAATATTAAATTAAGTCTTTGGGTCTTATGAGTACTGATTAAAAAATAAAAATAATAGAAAGTAGGAGTGCGGGAAAAAATTGATTCTTAGATGCATCGCAATGCGGTCGAGAACGATTCTGAATCGATTCACAAACGTCAAAAATCGATTTTCTAAATATTTAATTTATACTGTAATGTTGACGGAACGCAAAAGGCGGAACTGGGAAGTGCGGAAGTGCAGCGCCCGGACAGTCTGTGGCGGCACATAACAAAAACACAACTGGATGAGCGAGAAATCCGACCGGCTCCCTCTCCATTAAAGCCAGGTTAGGTCAGGAGTCACAACCCAAATGTTCAGAAGAGACATTTTGCCTTTAAACAAAGTCAAACCACCTTGGGAGCCGCAACATTTAATGTCCAGTATGTCTCAGTATGTGATGATGTCCTAGTATAGGCTAAACAATATAAACGAAAACGCAGATTTACTCCGCTCTGCTTTAAGCTTCAGCTATAGCCGCTTTCCTCCCATCTCCGCCAGAAAACTTTTCCTGAGAAGTAGATCAGTTAAATGTCTCTCGACATTCGACTGTTTAACGAGGCTGAAGTCGCTTCTTATTCTCCAGCTTCTTGTTCGAATTTACCCGTTCCACCTTAAATTCTAACTGAGGCGCCGAATGTAAATGCGGCACCATTTAAGGTGGAACGGGAGAATTCGAAAGAGAAGCGACTTCAGCTTCGCCACTTTTTAGTGTGTGACAGTCTCTCGTTGCAGATTTAACGTACCAGGAAACCAACTGCGCTGCTTATAAATGCGAATAACGCATCGCTGCTAGGTGACCTGCAGTCTGCACGCCGGTTCTCAGTCGTTGCGAAACAGGGCTTTCGCGCTATGTTGCACACGTCCCGCCTCAAAGATACTTTACTGACACAGGGATCCCCCCCGTCTCTACAACAAGACCAAAACCGAAGTTATAAAATCACTAAAGAAAACGGGTAGAATAGCTGTAACGTGCTGCGTGGACATCCATCACCACTGGATCTTATTTCACCGTAACTGCGCATTTTATCGCAGATGAGTAGCAGCAGCTTCTTTTGCTCCAAACAAGAGCACTGAATGAGAGCCTTCTAGTTCACTTGCCACATCACTTCCATTTGTTTTATTAAAAAAGATATTGGAAGTAAATTCATTATGGATCATTACAAATACTTTGCTTTAAAAGTACCAAGTCACTTTAAATAACAATAACACCGAGTTACTCAGTCACTTTAAAATGTATACTGTCTCTACATTCTGTATATATTTTGTGTATATTTAATGTTTCAGTTGGTTTTTCTTATATTTTTATTTTTACTTATTTACTTTCTGTAGAGTGATTAGCTGAGCCTCACCACAAGCATTGCAATGCATAAATGTCCTGATATGTTGTGCAAGTGACGAATAAACTTGAAACTTGAACTCGAAACTTGAGCTCACACAGTGAGAAAATATAAATGCTATATAGAAAAAAAAGATGCATCGAGATGCATCGATAATCATTTTATAATCGCATCGTAGCCCTCTGAATCGTAATCGAATCGTGAAGTGCCTAGAGATTCCCACCCCTAATAGAAAGTAGCTAAAACTATCTCTAAAGCATAAACAGTGACAAAATGTGTTTATTAGCTGTAATAGAAAAAACAGTTTTCTAAAACACAAACACTGAATCTAAACTATAATGTCTACTGCACAATTAAGGAAAACTAAATGGAATTACTGAGAAAAACCTTTATTTTTCATTTTTTTCAGTGCTTGTATGAGAGTTTAGAATAGGATCTCTTCTGTGTTTGGGCATTTTTGAGGAGTCAAGCTCAGTCTACTGTTTAATTTTATTCTACCCTCATCAAATACCTACTATCACAGCATTCATCGTAATACTAAAGACCAAAACTAAATGAAATCTAAACTAAAACTGCTATTTTTCAGAAAATAAAAACAAAACTAAGACCAAACAATGTACACTTAAGACTAACTAAAACTAAACTGAAATCAGCCCTATTTTCAGGAGATCGTTAGTTCGATTCCTAGTGATGCTACAGCCATCCGTGGCCGGGAGTCCAAGAGAGCACAATTGGCCTCACTCTCCTCCGTTACTCAATGCGATGCTAGTCGCATTAACAAATATCTTTAAATGCTCACACGCAGTAAAAAGGTGCCTCATGCCTCACAGTGAGGTTCCAGAAGTGTTTATTCAGATTCTGAACATTTAGGGTCAGGTGTATTTATGATTGCAGGAGCAGATTACAACGTGCCTTGATGTGACCAAATTGTGCACCCACAATGTGCCGGAATTTAATGTTAACTTTACTAAGACTACAACTTATCACACATACTGTGCATAACCCCACCCACTGACTGCTCACTCGTGAGGCACAGGGTTTAAAAGGAGCAGTGAAATAATGGAGTCGTCAACAAGCTTGAAACAAAACAGAACATAAAAGCTCAGCGATGAAGAGAATGGTACTGATAAATGCTGTTCTTTCCAAGCAAAACATTCTACAGGAGTTTTACATCATTCCAGTTAAGAAAACAGAGTTTGTGAAGCAGTAACATGCACTGCACGCACACATGTTGCAGCTGCATCACAGCGTATTTAACACTGCATCTTCTCACATACGTACATCTGATATTAAGACTTTAGAGAGTGTTCTTCTAATGATAAGCATTCAGTCAGCACGTGTTCAGGACTTGTGCCTCTATATTACCGCTGTGGCTGCTGCCATTGTGAAGGAAAGTCTCTCAACGACACGTCTTTTGAGACCTTAATACAAATGTATTCCTGATTTTAAAAGGTGTCAAACTTTAGTCAATGAAATTGAATATCAGTCACAGGTGTAATGTCTCGTATAAGTTTTTGCACAACCCTCCTTCAACAGCATATGCATGATGAAGAGAGGCATATTTAATGTATTTCCTTGCATAGAGTGCACATTTGCGCTCGTGCACCAGTTTCGTATATAACATGCAAGCAGGATATATCAATTTTGCTCCTGAAACTGCTGCAAAAGGCTTAGTTCATCAGGCTTTCAGTCTTTTGAGTGTATATGTGATTGAGTCCCGCTGCTCTCCTCCAGTGGATTCGTTTAGGTCCAGCTGTGGGTGACAGAGTTGGCCGGCAGCCAAACGCTGAGCAAACTACCTTCAGATGAACTTGGTTCTCACTGTGGAACTCTGTGCAGAGTCCAGCCACATTAATCACAGAGAAGTGTGTATGTGTGTGAGCGTGTTTGTGTGTGTGTTTGTTCACTCACTCCCTCTCTCTTTCTCTCCCTCTGTCCTTCTCTCTCTTTTTTATTTTTTTTCTCTCTCTTTTTTCTCTTTATCTCTCTTGCTCTTTTTTATCTCTCGTTATTTCATTCCCCCCCCCTCTCTAGGAGTCTTCCTGAGCCTCTAATGACGTATGGCCTATACAAGGAGTTCATAGTTCCTGCAAGTAAGTGTTTTTTTTTCTAAGTGCTCCACTAATGTCTAATCTAGCATAAAGTTTATCAAAGACATTTTATTTGCTTATGTTTGAAGTCAAAGTCATATTTAGCTTGTATCAAATTCAATTTAAATTTTGCAACATGAAAATAAATGTGCAGTTTGTTTGGTGTCTTTATGGAGACCATGTGTCCACATGATAAAAGAAAAACTCTGACTCTGGGGCCCAGTGAGGAATGCCACTCATAACAAACAAATAAATAAATACATGAATATTTTGTTAAATACTAAAAGAGCCAATAGAAAATGTTTACATGGTTATAGACTGTTACGCAGCTACAGAAATACAAGAAGTCCATACAAAACCTTCCTTAATTACTCTAATACAAGTGTAAGTGTGTGTGTGTTTGAGAGAGAGAGAGAGAGAGAAGGAGAGAGCACAAATGCACTCCTATGTGGTATTAATCACAGTAGCTGAAGGCCAGGCCGTGTTCTGTGAAGTATGTGTGAGCGACAGGTAAACAAACTCATCTCAGAGTGATGGAGAGACAGCAGAACTTGAGCTCTTCTCCTTTTTTCACCACAGACACCTCACTGACCATCAGCAGCCTGACCCCAGCACCCTCTCGCTCAGCACGCATCTGACAGCCCTCAGTTGCTTTTGTTTTAGAAGCTCATATCATGGGAAATCACATGTTGTTTTAAAGGGGCGAAACATTTCACTAGCTTCAATGGAAGTGGGCGTGGCTAAACTGCTGTAGGATGTAACGGTGGATATATGCATTAGTAACGTCACGAAAACAACGAGTTCAAAACATCCAGTTTTTGCAGCTCGGTTTTTACATATAGACTGTATGGACCGTGAAGTGAATAGTATATTTTGGTAGTGTTTACATACTACATTTAAAAGGGGAGGGGTTGTTTTTCTATTATATGGGCATTTTAATTTTTGTTGCTGCATCTAAACATCTAAGCTAGTTTTGAGAAAACAATTACATTCAGTCTACAGTAGTTTAGCCTCACCCTTGAAGTGATGTGGAGTGTTGTTACTGCTGACAGTCTATAACAGTTATTGAAGTGGAAACAGATGATTTATTACAGTTTTCCAAATGAGCCACATATCCAAAAGAAGCAGTTAGGTTTTAATTTTTTCTTTCTTTCTTTCTTTTTTTTTCTTATTTTGTTTTGTTCTTCAGATGATTTCAATATGAACTTAGCACAGTTTGTTTTGTATGTTTCATCCGGACAGCTTTTTGAATGAGACAATACCGTGCAGCCAATCAGAACAGTAACATCTGTATGTCATTGTTATAATATAAAATGTATGCTCATCTTCATAGATCAGTAGGAACAGTAACAAAAACAACCTGCTTAATTCTAAAGGATAAAGAGAGGTTAGAAAGTGGTCATGCTAAAATGATTTAGGAATAAAACTTCCTAAATGTTACAAGCGGAAAGGAATAATGAATGAATAAACTAAAGTTAACTAAACCCATATCCTGCATTTTTCATATTTGTGTTTTTATTCTTTTTCCCCTGATGTCCATGTTCATATGAGCATGAACACTCCTGTTAACTTCAGTGTCAAATGAGTAGGGCTAAAATACTGTAGGCAATAAACTCTTTTATTTAAAATAAGTGACAAAAATTCAGTTTTCCAGCATGTGGGCCCTTTAAAAGGAAAGTGTAGAACATGGGCCATTTAAAGGTGTCACCTGGCTAACATGGTTAGTGGTGAAGAGCTTGTGTTTTATGTAAGTGAGGATGCTGAGTGTATTTACATGCACATGTGTATGTACATGGTGTCTGAATCCCCTCAGGGGGACTGAATAATGTAACCTGTGTTTGTGTGTGTGAACAGAAAGTGGCAGTCCGGAGGCTCGTGTTCAGGCCATTCACTGTTTAGTGCACAAACTGCCTGAGAGAAACAGAGAGGTGTTGAGTCTGGTTACCAAACACCTGGCCAAGTGAGTGACTGCACGTTTCTACTTCTCCTTCTCTTTCTCGTTCTCTGCTACTCAACCATTCTATGGCCTCACTCTACTTTTTTCTCTTACTCTTTTCTCTCATTATATGTTGTGCATATGGTGTCAGACAGCAGTATTAGTTTTTGTTTTCAGTGGTTTTGACACATACATTATTATCTATCAGAGTTAATTCTGTGCTGGGTTCACAGAACAGTTCGAAATGCATCAAAGCTAAACAAATAGTAAGATTCCTAAAATTTCTGGAAATTTACTTTGTGTCTGGATTCGAATCATAATGCTGCATAAGGCTGCCTTTGGTGTAATTTTAATAGATGTAAAACAGAGCAAAAACTTTGTCAGGTTTGTAAGCATAGAGCTGCGGTTCTCAACACAAGGCTCGTGTTTTGGATAGTATGTGTCAATGTGCAGCCCTCACCTTCTCACCACCCCCCATCCTTAGTCATTACTGTCAATTAATGAACAAGGACTATGTTTTACCAGAACCTTGTCCATTTTGCTAGCTGTCCACCTGCACATGGAGACATGTTCCTGTTCCTTGGTTAGTAGGCGTGGTATGGCTGTGAATTGTGATTGTCTGGCACAAACTGATTCTAATAGCCTTTAATAGTGTACCATTTTAAACATGTTTTTAGATATAACTGAAGCAGATGTAATAACTGACTAAAGAATACTAAGTAGCGATGATGGGACCAAAATTTTCATTAAATACAGTGATATACTTGTAGATTACTGTGATGTTGAATTTTATCAACATTGCCTAGAACCTCTGTCTCTATTCTGTGTGTTTCCTCTCGTCACCCATATTCTTGTTCTCTCTCACTTTTTCCTTCCCTCTTTTTCCCTTCCTCTCTTTCTTGCTCTCTTCCCTCTTTTCCCACACTGAGGGAAAACACTGTTTCCTGCCCTCTCTTTTTCACTGCAGTATCTTTCTCTTGAATTCACACGTTATTTCACCCTAAAGCCCTATCTTTCTCATTGAATCTCCATCACTTTCCTTTTTTTCCTCCCTCTCCACACATATATCACACACTTACACAAACACGCGTTAACCCTACATGGGTCCAAGACACACACACACTACACCAGCATAAAGACCTTTGGCTTTCTGTAGCCTTACCTCTGTCACCAAGGCAACGGCACACATAGGCAGACAGCTGAGAGAAGAGCAAAGCAGCAGCCCACTTCTCCAGCTGCACACACACACTCATCTCATATAAACAAAAACAACAAAAGTGCCATGATCTAGATTAAGCCCTACTTTTTTATTCTAAGGATTAACCTCATCCTCTCTTTTCTAAAACAGATCATTGTTACGTAACAGGGCCTTCTGAGCGATTATATACTATAAGATACTTCTAAATAACGTTAGCTAACATTACAAGGCTTTTCTCCATGCCCAGAATTTTTATATAATCTAAATGGGAGCAAATTGAAGATAAGTACATAATCTCTTTCCCTCCCAGCGATCAAGCCACCGGGCAGCCTCGTCTCCGTCAAAATATAGAGCTGGAATCTGTGCCAGTGGACGCACCATTGGAAATGAAATTTGGGTTATCCGCCATGAAATTCCTCCTCAATCCGGCCTGTTCGCTCACACACTCCCCAGAGCTGGCTCTGAAACACACTGCTTACAGACTGAAAGAAACAGCCAAAATTTCCACCCTGCTATCTGAAATTGGATTTGCAAGGTGATTAATTGGAGTTATCAGTGGCTTCCTGTTTTCCCCCACAAAGTGTGCCATCTGAAAGAGGTTAACTATTTGACAGATCTGGTTACATTCCAACATGAGAAATGTACATCAGACTATCGAAGACTGGGCTGAATTTAAATCATGTTAATAGACTTCATCACCCACTTAAATACACTTAAGACATTATCCTTCACACCCACAATGCAGCATAGAAGGCCAGAACCTATGAAGGTAAACAAATAAACACCAAGAACACACAATCATAATAATGCCACCAGCCTCTCATATCTCACTTAGAGATACACTCTTATAAAAGATGGTTCTGCAAGGGTTCTTTTGTAAAGGGGATTTAGAACCATGAGTTCTATATAGAACCATTTCATGCTTAAGTGTTTCTTTGCATGGTGAACTGGTTCTTCAGACTGTTGGAGAATGTGTTGTATATAGAACTTTTGGTGCTGTATAGAACCATCTCCAAAAAAAGTTCTGTATAGAACCTTATGCAGCACATTTTCAGTCAAGCTGAAGAACCATTTTACCATGCAAAGAACCATTTAAGCATGAAATCGTTCTATGTGGAACTCATGATTCTAAATAAATTCATTCCCTTTACTAACGAGCCCTTGAAGAATCATCTTTTTTAAGAATGTGAATTAACACTGGCACGAGTATCACTATAATTAATGACTCTATTAATGTTTTGTGCCATCGCAAAACCTACTTAGGTGTTAAACAGGGCCTTTCACAATTTACTAAATAGGTGCAGCTGTCCTTTAGCAGCCATCGTAAGATCAAAGGTTTGGTCGCTGCTATTTTTAAGCTTGCCTTATTGCAGAGTTTCCTGGGAGGAGATTAGGAGCCCTATTCGAGCTGGGTTAGTTTTACCAGAGGAGGTCTGGTATTGTAATTTGTGCATGATTTCACTGGCCAATTCATACAGGAGAAAGGGTCTGTGTCATTTCCCTAAATTACCCCAAATAGCCCAGATCGAAACATCATTGCGCGGACCTTTACATCAGCATTACGCGGCAGGTGCCACACATCCAAACAATAACATGTTGTGCAATTAAATAGCATATAGACTAGCCTTAGGCTAGTAAAGTGGGTTCATTTAGTTTACCTAATGCTGCCCAACCAGACATTGTCTTGCGAGTGGTTCTTTCAAGATATTTCATTTTCCCTCTCCTTGTAATTTGGTAATTTCATCACCAAAAATGTTGTGGATTTCTGTAGCTTAAGGACTAAGGAACTGGGTCAAATCAAGCTCCATTTTAGCTGTTAGCCTTGTGTTCAGGTCACAAAAAAGAAAAAAAAAAATAGGCGCTGTTTTCTGTTACCTGGTTTTGTTATTACACTACTGTAATGTCAGTTTGAACAGGACTGCTGTTACTGAGGGAGTTCCATGTTCAGCAAATTATAAAAGGTAATTCACTCCAGAATTATCCCTTAGCACTTGTAAAAACTATGCGTTTTGCTGGATTAAAATCACAAATCTCATCAGGGGAAAAAAATTCCGTTTTGCAAGTTATAATGAAATAGTGACTTATTTTCTCAAAAATTTGACTTATTTGTTATTTGTTATTCTAAAAAACTACTTTATTAATTGAACTGAATTACTTCAGTTGAACTAGTTTTATCTACATATAATTACTTTGAATTTAAACATTACTTTGAATTTAAACAAGTCAAAGCAACATTTTTGTTTAGATAAACTAAAGCAATTATATATATATATAATATATATATATATATATATATATATATATATATATATAAACTCTATTTTATTGACATAAATCATTTTACATGAGCAAAACAGTATATTGGGCTGATCAGATGTTTCATTTGCATCAAAGTTCTAAGCTTAAAAAAAAGCATGGACATGCTGCCAGAAAAACAAACAACACATTTTCCCCTTGCTAGTAAAAATGGATTTCCATACAAAAAGGACATGCACAAATTTAATTGTGAAATTGTACCTTTGTGTATGTATTACTAATTCTTAGTTCTTAGGGTGGGCTGCATGAGCAAAGATTAAATTAAGCATGGTTTACAGCTAATCAAAGATTTGTTACCCTGGGTTTTGTTTTATTTTGTTGAGTTTTGTTGCGCCACTTAATTTGAACAAATCTGCAATTAAAGTCGTAATCTGTGATTAAAACGTTAGTAAATATGTCTCTATGCTTTTCAGCTGTGCACTTTTACAATATTTCTTACAACTACTACTACTATTCTGCTAATAAATAACACTTATAAATTTATTTATTTGTTTCCTTTTTCAACTTTACATGGGCCAGCTGGCACACTAGAAATTGCTTTTTCTCCAGCAGAGCCAACCAAGTAACAAGTCAGCACGCTCACGGTAAGACCGTTGTAGAACTTTTTTCAACTTTTTTTTTTTTTTGCTCTGGAAAGATGGATCACCTCATTTTAGGCAAAATAACCCAGTGCAGAACTAGAGCATCATCCCGGGCTGGTTCTAATCCTAACCAAACACATATCAGTACCTCCGTGGCCTAAGGGGGTTACATGTTTGCTGTGGCAAAAAAAGAAACAAAACCTACATGCCCTGGGGCATTCCAGGAGGAGGAATGCCCACCCCAGACTTAGAGCGTTCTTAGACATTGCAGCTCCATCCTCAATAAAACTGAGACTGACAGTGTTTATTCTTAACCATTTTTTAATGGTACATTAAATATACATTCAGGTCATAAACTGAAGCTGCTATATGAAATGTTCAAGCGTGTTTAATTTTCCCAGCTGTATGTAATAAACCAAAGTAAACAAAGTAAATAAACCAGCACTTTTCTGTTTTGCTTAATCAGAACATTAAGACTAATTTCCACAGGCAAAATTATACAGGCTTTGGCTTTTCACATTTGTTTATAGTTTATTTACTTGTTTGTTGCTTGATTTTTGTTGTTTGTTCTAAGGAAAGGAGTCCCTCCCATGCAACTGAACACGTTTGCTGAACGAATCAAAACGACAGATTTTCACATTTCATGTTTAAATATTGTTGGTCATCAGAATTTCGTACCTTTAAAATTGTATGATTTCTTCTTTAGAGGCCAAAATCCCTATGTTGTAAGTGCTGGAAGTGTTAGCTGAACATTGATTTGAACTGGTCAGATGCTTCTGGTTGCATTGAATGAACACACACACAGTGCTGCCCAGAATTATTACCCTCAGTAAAGACAAGCAAAACCGGCTACAGAAGGTCACGTGAGTGGTGCAGCCATTGTAAGCATTCCATTATTGCCATCCTTGGCTGGAAGTCCGAGGCAGCATAATTGGCCTTGATTCCTCTGGGTGTATAGAATGATCCTCCCTCTCTCCAGTCACTCAGCATGATGCTAGCCTGTTTGCCGGCATAACAGGATTTACATAACGTTCTACTCCAAGTGTGTTGAGATGTCCAGTGACGTTGCGTTAGCAGTGATTCGAAAAGATGCAGATGCACTTCACGTCTCAGAGGAAGCATGTGTTAGCCTTCGCCCTCCCAGCTTGTTTACATCATGTAATGGGGAGACCTAGCTACCAAGTGGTAATTAGACACAACATAATTGGAGAGAAAATTTGGGGGGACAGAACATATTTATCACAATTACAGGCAAAAGAGCTACAACTATACCCATGAACATCCCTAATCTCTTTGTCACAGAACTTCCACTTACTGTTTTATCTTGAGCTTTTTGACAGCTCCATTATTTCACTCTGCCTTTTAAACCCTTTGCCTCAGAAACAAAGTTAGTGGGTGGGGATACTTGCAGTTTGTGGTATAAGCTGAAGTCTTAAGCCTGCTTTACACCGTGCAGTTACAGTGGTCTTATATTTTTACTGCAAAAACATCTTGGCCAAACTCCATATCAGTCCTTACGAATTCAGTTATTCTGCATGCCCGATTATATGTTAAGATTTTCTTGCAGTAGACTTATGATGCAAGAAAATGGCATTCTGCATGTTCGTTTTGTTTTTTTGCTGAAAAATAAAGAACTGCAAGCAAAAAAAAAATCCCCTTGCCGTAATAGTGGCGATGCTTTGTCTGAATGAACATGTACTAAATGGCTAGAAAGGAACGGTTGGCGCTGTTCTTGACTGGGGGAAAATGGCTACATGGAATGTTCATTCCCCAGACTGAACTTGAGGTCAGTATGCTAACTTTTCTGTCCACCATGTGGTAGCTCGCTGTGCTATTCCACTGCAGGTCACTCCATATGTGAAGTGAGGTTTGAACCAGACTTGTAACTAGAGCTAATATTCTGAAACTTGGTTTTACCTCAGTTTATCATTAGACGTGTGTCCTTTGCAGGGGTCACATTGCATGGTTTTGGACCAAAGGTTCTGACACTGCCAGAACTTTATCATAGGCTGTCTTTTGTCTCAAAGGTAGTAGATCAGTCACTGTGCAGCCTTTAAATATTCAAAGACCACCAATTTTAACTCGCGTTCATAGAAATTTTTTTTCATGATTTGTTTTTTGTCTGGGACGTCATTATTGTGATGATTATCATGCAGTGTAAACCTGTCATCAAACAGTAATTCAGATGCATTTTGGAAGCATATTGTGGTTGCATCAAGGCACATTTGCATGTCTGTGCTTCTACATCAATCTCGCCCAGAGTCTCAGCAAGTGGGGAAAAAAAAGAAAAAAGGAAAAAAAAACAACAGCAAGCAATAGTTAGATAGTCATAAACTAATGAACAAACCCAGAGAGATCACTAAGAAAAGAGATATGCGTAAGAAATTAGCGTATTAGTATTACTCCAATCTCTCACACAGACACACAGACACACACACACGCACAAAACATGTATTAATACAGCTACTTCCCCATAGCATAATTTTGAATTATTATCCCCCTTAAAGTCAGTCTCACTAGTTAGATATGACACTAATTTCAAGTAGAGTTGAGAAATTGCTCTCTCTCCCTCACTCTTGGTCTCATTCTGTGTGTGTCTGTGTGTTTATGTGCAGTGTGGCGGCCCACAGTAAGCAGAACCTGATGACCGTAGCTAACCTGGGTGTGGTGTTTGGCCCCACACTCATGCGACCGCAGGAGGAGACAGTGGCTGCCATCATGGACCTCAAGTTCCAAAACATTGTGGTGGAAATCCTCATCGAGCAACACGAAAAGGTGACTCATCCTCTTTTTTTATTCCCAGAGTGATAACAGCAACAGTGTTTTCCAGCCTAGTCTCTATTCTGTACTGTGCCATGCTGTCTATCACCAGAAACAAGATTTGCTTATAATAGAGGCCAATCGGTGCTTCAGAGCCAGAATTCCTTTTTAATGTATGTAGAAATTACCTCACAGAAAGCTGTTATGTAAAAGGGTTAGGAATATGCTGCCTGATTTCTGAGACCCTGTTTTATGATAGTTTTGAAATAAAGTTTTGGCCTTGTTAAGTTCCATTTAAGTTAAGTTGTGTCACAAAATAGTTCCCAATTTTTTTTTTAGATTTACTATTTTACCCTCATTAACACTGCATATTAAAACACATGTAGGTTAATTGGTTGTTTTGGATAATAAATAAAAGGGCTGTATTTGCGACCCCCTGGTTTCACCACAACTGTAACAAAATCTGAGTTTCTCTACAATGAACTATTTCACATCAAACCACTCTGAATGACTGTTTATATGTCAGTGATTGAATTATGCAGAAATTTGAGGAAGGAAAACAGTGGCATTTCCCTTTGAGTGAGTGTTACAGTGAAGCAAGATGTATAGCAGCTTCTATGCTGTTGCATTGTTTGGATTTCATGTGATTTAAGTAACTTTAAACAGTCACTTAGTCGTTGTCATGCTCCTTAAAGCCACTAAGGGGAGCCCTGTGTGTTCAAGCAATGTTTCAGAGCACTTCACTTTGTGGTTTACCTTAGGACGATCCACTCTCATTTGACTAAAGTGCTGAAGAAATCATTGATTCAAGCAGCTTTAGATGGTAAATAATCTGGGTAATCCCTAGATGGGGTTAACTCACGAATCTACATGAAAGGTCGAGATGAATTCATAATCTATCACTTATTTTACCTGGCATATAAAAAAAGTGAAAGCATTACCTTGTTGCATAACAGAGCAACCTGCAGGCATATTCCAGGTCAGTGCTTGAAGCTGTGTGTTTTGTGTGTTTTGAATCAAGTGACCCATATTTAGGGATTTGTTTTTTCACCATTGTTTTCCAGGGCAGGCATTTCTTCCATGAATTGATCTCATACAGGCAAATATGCAGTAATGCCTGAAACTATTGGAGATGTATTCATTTAAACATTTTTGAGGCAGAAGTTAATTTGTTGGTGTAACTTAATTAGGTTACAAGAGAACTGCTAGGCTAATTAGAAGGCAGCAATGTGAATGTTTGAGAGAGGGCAGCTGCATCATACTGAAGCATATACTTATGTGCTGTTGTCACAATTTAACAAAGTTGTTTGCAAACATTAGGCCACACTTCTTCACTTAATGCACAGTTACTGTTTATTTGCTGAAGTTAACATATTGGAAAAGAAAAGAAAACATATTTTGACCTATGCAAAAGTTATGGCACATTATATATACATAAACTTGTACTTTTTTCCTATAATGTTAATTTCAAATTGTACATAAAAGCTTGCAGAAATATACTGTAGTAATGTTTATTCCCTGTAAAGGATGTGTACTTATTTTTAGTTAGAAAATCAACAAAACATGTAATTTGAGCAGGAGTGTTAAAACTTACGCATATCACTGTATTTAAAATTTTTATCCAAATTTGATCCAGGGCTGCACGCTGTACAGTTTTTTTTTTTTTTTTTAAATAGTTATTGTAATATTGACCTTTTCAGTACTAGTATTGCAGAATCCTGCTATATGAAAATGAGCCTTCCACAAGTGCATCTAATTTTGATAAAAATAGTCTAGGTCTTTTATTATGTCATGTCAAAGATTAACAGTTGTCTTTTTAATATATTGCAATGCATATCAATGCATAATACAGCAATATAATTGCAGTACTAGTATTTTGTCCATTCTGTGCAGCCCTAGCTATTTTTAACACAAGTGCTAAAATACATAGGTGCAGTAAAGCATTCAATACTACAGGGCTCAGAAAAGGAATAAAACAGTTCTCAGTTCTCTCTAAGCAGAGCCAATATTTTACCATTTCCACACCAACATAATAATAATAATAATTATAATTATAATAATAATAATAATAGGCATTTTTTTAGAACAAAATTAAAATGTCATGATTGGCGATTAACTACCATGTAAATAATTGCAATTAAAAATGTAATTGTTTTGTTCATAGTTTGCAACTATTAAAGTATAAGCCTAAAGTAGCTTTGGTGGCTGTTTAGCTGTCTTGGCTTCAATACTTGCCGACTGACAAAAGAAACAGTTCGCACTCAAGTAAACAATGAGTACTCATTGCTGCCCTCTAAAGGTGTTATTAAAAACATTGAATAACTACATGTTGCTCACCGTCGCCCTCTATCTTTGTCATAACACCAGTCGGAAATTGTCTCCGGGAAAAAGAGTGATGCTTGGCATCAGTGACACTGTGTGCCCTTTTTATTCCTAGTAATAACTTCCTGAAATATGATGAAATTGAAATTGGATATTGTTAAATATCCAAATATCTAAATATTGTTATACTTGGGTGGTTGTCAGTATACTTTGTGGGGGTGCACCTCAGATATTGCCTACGTGTGGGAAGCACTGACCCATGATCAATCTCAATAAAAACATTTCCTGCTTTCTTCTATTTACATGTTTTCACTCAACACTACTGATAAAAGTACACTCAGTTCATGTTCTGTTTGTTGTGGCATAAACATTGTGGCATAAACATGTGTTGTGAAAGCTAACAATTGTAGAAAATAATTGCAGTCAGCTTGCGATCAGGTGGTTATGTAATAACTGTGATGCCTAATTACTAATCTTACTGTCTAATGCATACTTTAACATAGCGCTTAGGTTGATAAAATATTTACAGTACACTCATTTCTCTTCTCTTTGGTTCCTCATTTATGAACTGTGGAAAAATGTAAAGACATGACAAGACGAGAAATTATGTCTAGCCTATGCTGCACAGTGCGCAAGATAAACCGAAAGAAATTATGATACTGATCCAAAGACACTTGTATGTTTGGAAGTAAAACATAAACAATCAGCTATTTTAAATTCTTGATGAATTGTGGGAACAAGAAACCAGTGTCATTAGCTGATAACAGAGACTTCAGATTAACTTTCCTGAACAGTTAACAGTGATTTATCTTTTTCATTTTTGATCTTCCAACCTGTTCAGAGCCCTGCCATATAGCCAAAGATGGAGTTACTGGGCAGTTGTGACCTTGAGGGTTTTTTCCAACCCCTTAAGAAAAGTTGGAGTGAGTGTGGTGTTGAAATTCAAGGTATGGAGTGACTCTGCAGACGGGTGGATATTAGCTCCTCTCTCAGGCTGAGGCTGCTGCACTCCAGACTGGAGATAGCCCCAGATGCTCTCAGCAGACAGTGTTATGCATTCAGGTCCATCTGTAGAGGAGCAGAGAGATGGAGAGGGAGAGAGGGAGGGAAAGAAAGAGAGTGTGTGTGTGTGTGAGAGAGAGAGAGAGTGAAGAGTGTGAGGAGAGAAAAAGAGAGAGTGGCTAGAGAGAGAGTGAAAGAGTGGTAAAGGCTGGAGAGGTTGAGAAAGAAGCAGAGAGTAGATGGAAAAGTCTAACACTGAGACAGAGGGAGAGAGAGTATGAATGAAGAAGGAGAAGAACAAGGATGGCGATAAGGAAAGACGGGGGGAGGAATGTGAAGTGATTGTAATAAATTGTATCACGAAAACACAGTGGGTATCGCTCAGCAAACACCAACCAGCTGCTTCATTAATTACACTGCCTTGTATCTACACTCATTGTCCATTTTATCAGCTACACTAACCATATAGGTCCACTTTGAAGTTTCAGAATTAAAGACTGTAGTCCATCTGTTTGTCTGCATCATTTTTAGCCCCATTTTTTTGGGGGGATTTTTACCCGATTTTCTCCCCAATTTAGTTGTTTCGAATTCCACCCGCTAGTTAGGACTCCCCCAATCACATGATACTACCAACGTTAGGAGGGTGAAGGCTAACACAGGCTTCCACCGAGACCTGTGAAGCGCCACTGCATCTTTTCAAACTGCCGCTCACGCAACATCATTGGACAGCCGAACGCGCTCGGAGGAAAGCACCAACCGCCAGATTTGTTACGTCAGCTAACAGACGACTGCACTGACTAGCATCGCATTGAGTGATGAGGGGGGGCCATCCTACCCACCCAGAGAGAGCAAGGCCAATTGTGCTCTCTTGGACTCCCGGCTACGGATGGCTGTAGCATCGCCAGGGATCGAACTTGCGATCTCCTGATGACAGGGCCAACGCCTAGACGGTTGTGCCACTCGGGAGCCATTTTTAGCCCCATTTTACCCTGCTCTTCAGTGGTCTGGGCCCCAACAGGTCCGCCACAGAGCAGATATTATTTAGGTGGTGGATCGTTCTCAGCACTGCAGTGACACTGACATGGTGGTGGAGTGTTTGTGTGTGTTGCGCTGGTACAAGTGGATCAGATACAGCAGTGTTGCTGGAGTTTTTAAACACTGTCCATTTACTGTCCACTCTCTTAGACACACCTATCTTGTTGGTCCTGGTTGACTATGTAGATGTAAAGTCAGAGACAGTAGCTCATCTTTTGCTGCACAGTTTGTGTCAGTCATCGTCTGGTCCTTCATCAGTGCCCACAGGACGCTGTTGGCTGAATATTTGTGGTTGGTGGACTGTTCTCAGTCCAGCAGTGACACTGAGGTGTTTAAAAACTCCAGCAGCACTGCTGTTTATGATCCGCTCGTACCAGTGCAACACACACTAACACACCACTACCACGTCAGTGTCGGAGAATGATTCACCACCCAAATAATGCCATATTAATAATATCATATAGTTTGTGGCTACAGCATTAGAGTGAGGCACTATAAAGCACAATTTCTATTTCAAATGTTGTCCTTCTGTACTGTTGAATGCTGTAATATACTGAAATGGGAACATATAACGTAAGGCACAATTTCAGCCATTCCTTTTGTTTGCTGTAAAATTGAGACACCGCTATATGGAATTGATTAATGAATTCTGTGAGTCATTAGATGTCTGGTATTGTCAGTACATCTAGAACATTGAATAACTGTTTGCGTCATGAAAAAGACAGATTTAGACCAATTATAGAGAGCCTGTAAACATCATCAACGAACTGCATAAACCACATAATATGAAGTATCTGATTAGATAAGTATGAAGCATCCACTGTAACGAGAATTCATGAGCTGTCTGAATGAGAGCAAGAGGCTACAATTGCAGAGGAGATGAAATAATTTGACTGTATATATGAAAATGATGAACACACTTGTGCTGCCACTGTTGCTCTTACTGGACACTGGTGCTAAAAATTGAAAACTTGTTCATGACATTTTCAGGTTCAGGTGAAAACAATGTTTTTAATAGGAAATGTAATGATTAATTGAGATTAACTGCACAAACTAATGCGATTAGTCATGATTAATTATTTTAATTGTCAGCTGTAATAAAAATACATCTTGAAAATGTCTTTAAATATCATGCTGCATTCCCCTTCATTAGAAGGAAGGAAACCTGGGGAAAAGGTGGTGTAGTAGAGATGTGGGCAGGCGGCCATGCACGTGAAGATGGAGAGAGATGAGAAGAGAAGGGATGAAGTGGTGCTGGCGTCTGAAGTTTTTCTCAGCACTATCAGATTCTATCCCTTCTACCAGCTCTGTGATCTCCCGACTCACTCATGTTGAGACTTCCAAACTTCTGCTAGTTTCAGCTTTTTCAACTCTCTGCCTGAAGTCTGGATGTAAACACTGCTTGATTCACACACATCCCACACTGTTACTACGAAAGCATGTTTAGTAAAGCAGATTTTCCTTTGTAGCAGCTATTTCTGTGGGATGTGTGTCATTCGTTCAAATGCCTTTCAGTGAGAGACTGTTTAGAGTATTTCTGCTCTTTCAGTGATCTTAGAGAACTCTTATGAAGGAGGCATTTGATGTCTTGGTTTTTATGTGCTTGCTGTCTCAACAGCAAATGTGTTTCCATTCATGGAGTTTGAAAACGCTCTTGTCTGGAGACGCAAGCCTTAAACACTCCTCTGTTGATTCGGGACATGTTCAGTCACAAGGAGACACTCTCCCACAAGCATTCAACCCTGCAGACATTTACACAGCAACACATGCACACCTAAACAGGCATTGACTCACACAAACTCACTGATCTCCACACTCCTCAATGGGTTCCTTCATATTTATTTATACACAGATACAGTTATACAGATCTAACCCAGGTTCTTCCACTTCTCCTCTTTCTCTTCCTCCTACCCTCTGTCATCTTTTTCTTTTTCTTCTTTTACTCCTCCTTTTTCTCCTTCTTCTTCTTCTTTTTTAGATATTTGGAGATATTCCAAGTGTCAGTCCATCCTCGGCTATCTCTCCCCTCGCTCCAACCCGCCAATCCAAGAAGCAAACCCGTCAGAGTCGCCCACTGGCTGTGTACAACCCTTCGGTTCTGGACATTCACACAGGTACAAGAGGTGGGATGTTAAACCAAGGGAAGCAGGGATGAGGAACCTACACAAAAAAATCCTTTGTGACTGGTTCTTAATTGAGTTCTCACCCTGAGGCCTGTCCCAGCGAATTCACACTGCAGGATGGTTAATCTACGTGGTGCTAATAAGCTCCACATGCAGCATGGGTTAGTTGTGAGGTATATAGAGCTAATTGGGCACCTGGATAGCCTCAACTTACTACAGATTCTTTCACAGTTAGTGGTTTGCTTGCTCTTTCCTGGTGTGATCCAGAATGATCCAAAGTTCTATAATAATCAGTGAGTGTATAATTCTCTATATAATCCCCTTCCAAACAGCAGTGTTGCTTATTTTTTAATATGCATTGTACAACAAGCATACACTTGCATAGACTAATCAATTGGTCAGATAGTTGACTAAAATATTCAGTGTAGGCTTCTGTAAACTAGTGAGGAACAGTGCCTGATTTTAGTAATGGTGGCAGAAGCAAAGGTCAGCAGGAAGGAAAATGGTCCAGATAGGTAACTTTCTGCTAAAAATGAACGCTGATATACTTCATTAGCTTTGAAAAGATGGAAACAACTCTCAACTACGGTTTGTGAAATACTATCCAGAAACGCAACAAAAAGACTTGGATAAGTGCATAACCGTCTCAAAGTGAGGCATCTGGACAAGATACTTATTTAATTATTTCCATTCATATGTGGGAGGCTCTCATGATTTTTGCTTATTTACCTTATGCAAGCCCTAGGATTTTCTTATAACTGTGATGCATCAAAAAGTGATCCAAGTTGGTTGTGGGCTTCTCCTAGCAAGTGAAATTAAGCTACGTTTCCACAGTTCCAACAGTTTATGAACTACACGTGGCAGTAGGTACAGGAAAATAAGCAGGTTTTTAGATTGACAGGCTTCTGAGCTAATAGAAGGTTTTAGTGAGGAAAATTGCCAGGATCTGCCAAATCCATTTTTTTTCTTCTGCATGAATGATAAAGTATCACCTAAACTCCACTATTTGGCTAATGCTTTAGCATATATGAGAAGACTGTATGAAGAATAGGGATGGAACTAGGGACCATTATTTCTTTGTCACTAGCTTCAGCCAATTTCTTAAAATACTTCATGTCAAGGTAGGAAGTATCTGAAGAGACATGACTTTTCCAAGAGAACATCTCCTATAGCCTTCATTAACCTCAGTCAACCTCCAGCTACAGATGTATGGTGAAAGGGAGTGAACGTGTTTGTATGTGCATGTTGAGTTTACTTCTTTAGCATAGTTTTACTGCTGTGGACTTGACCAAAGTGAATTAGCACATTGTCTCTGCAAAGCATTCCAAGCAGTCTCAGGTTTCAAGAAGGCTGTGTTATTCAGCACTATCACTCTTTCCTTGCCGAATGTTAATTAATGCTCAGGTTAGATCTTTTAATAGAGTTTTATATTGTATTTCAAGTAATACTGTATAGCGGAAACGTTATCACTGCCAACAAACGAGGCGAGTGGAGAGAGAAAAAGTGTGAATGGTATGTTGGTGCTTGAGGTTTTGGTTTGTTAAATATCCAAACCACACCATCTGCAGTTTACTGTTTATCCTTAGCCTTATTCGTTTCCTTTCTTGATGAAAAACATTTTGTATTATTTTTTTGTCATCCAAGGCCTCCCGTGGTCATTGAGTCGGGTTAGCTTTTCTCAGACTTTGTGCTATCACTTTAGTTAATAAGAGTTTTCTGAAAAGAAAACTGGCGATGATTAAACAAGCTACAGTTCCCTCCAGAATTATTGGCAACCTAGGTAAGAATAAAAAAAAAGAAAAAAACCTAGAAAACATGTATTTGTTTATTAGCTTCCTTAGACTGAACTAATGAAGGATAATGAACATTAAAAAAAACTATGGAACATATTCAAGCAAATATCCCTATTTTGGCACCCTTAGAAATTCCTATAACAAACTCTAACTGACATAGATTGTCGTGCCTTAGTCTTGAGGAAGTGGCCATTCATGAATTTCTTTTGCTGAGGTATGAATTTGAAGTCACATACAGATCAAACATAATCCATCATCATGAGGGTGATCAGAGAATACAAAAATGAAATGAAACTTTCATAAAGAGACCTTGTTGACCTTAAAACCACGGCTACCCATTTCCGCTGTGGACAATAATCAAGAAGCTTCATAGAATAGGAGTTGGGATGGACCTCCGAGTAAAAGGATGCAAAAACACAGTGAGGCGTATGGTTTGTGAGACAGATTTTCTCAGAGGATCACTAAGGACAACTGTAGGAACTGGTTGCGTCCAGTATAATTATTTGCCATGTTAAGAGACAGTTAGAAAGGCTTGCCAAAAGAAACTTTGTTTGAAATTTTGTTCCAATGCCAGAAGTGGGTTTGGTGTTAAAAGAATCAGGCTTATGCAGAAAAGAACCCAAATTACACTACAAAGTATGGTGGTGGAAGTTTTGGGACAGTCCTTTTTCCACAGGCTCAGGGAGTCTTGTTTGGATACATGGCATCATGGACATCAAATATCAGGAAATTTTAGGTCAAAACTGCTGACTTCCACCAGACGGCTAAAACCGAGTCATGTTTAGAGCTTCCAATCCTCCAAATCCACACAAAAATGGTTCACTGACCACAGAACCAAACTTTTAGAAATTTATTCAATAGTCTTATCAGTCCTCTGACCTTAACCCCTTTAAAACCTGTGGGCTGAGCTAAAGGAGACTGTCCATTAGTACTAAGGACTTATAATTTTGTCTCACAGAAAGTTTAGATTTCTCTCATAGTTTTATATGTTAGCGCTGACAAAGACATTTTTCGTAGCCTTTTTTGTAGCGGTAATTCTAGAGAGCACTGTAATTCAAAACTGTGGGTAAAGTTAGCTTTTGCTGTATGTGTAATGTGAGTTTTGACTGCTGATGTTCTCTTCTATCTCATCTCCTTAAAACATGCAGATTGATCTCAGAAAGAGCAGCTGTTTTACAGAAGAAGCTCTACGTTACTTTACAAATAGGGGACGACGTTCAGATGGAAACAATGGCAAACAGTATTAAATGTTTCCAGAAGTGTTGGACTGAAAGACAATTGTGCAGATTTTGTTATGTGCTCCAGTGTAGTTCTCAGCCTGTTTTCTTTTATTTTCTTCCCCCCAGAAGGACCTGACTTTTGCTCCAAGTGTCATTAATGATATTTAACATTGTTAGTGATTAGGAAAAAAGTGAAATATGTTGCACAGCATCTGTTATTATTTACAGTAAGTGCCTAAGGGGGTATTGAGGCTTCTGGTTTTGAAATAAATAATCAGATTTTGCTGGCTGCACCGGTGTTTGAGTTTGAGTCTCAGTGGTGCCATCAGTCATAAATGGCCCATGGCAGTATGGTTATCCACTTGTAACTGGGTGGGAAGGTGGACAGGACAGACTTCTTTTCTACCCTTGGGTATAAGATATGGCTGTCACTATTGATTATGTTAGTATCAAATGAATATTCAAATGATTGGTCAAATATTATGAGTCTTAAAAAAGATCAAATGTCATCATGTGCAAAATCAGACACCACCCATTTACTTCATTTCATGTCAGAAGTGTGATCAGTACAGGTTATTCATTTTTCAGCGTCAGTAATTTTCTGTTTAACAGAAAATTTCACAGATTCCTCAGCAACTAAATATAATATCAAAATTGTCAGTGTTTGTGTCCACTCTTTACCTTTATAAAAATGTCTGTTTTTTCGTGATACTTGTTTTTTAAAAAAACTCTTCAGGCAATCCTAGTAATCCCAAACACATGCAGTCATTAGGTTTGAGCTCAGGGGTATAGGTGTTTCTGGTTTTGCCCTTGGACAAGGCAGCCCACTGCTCCAGGTAGTGCTGCTCTGCTGGCGATGCTGTGGGTGTGGTTAGGCAGCATATTTTCCCTTGTAGGATCAAAAACATAGAAAAGAAATCTCCTCAGAAATATCTCCTTTAGCCGTTTTAGGTGCACAGGGAAAATAGATTTGTAAGGTGTGTTTGGGTGGTTGTGAGTGTTAGTGTCTCTTTGAAGTATGTGAGTATAATGTCAGTGAGATGTTTGGAAACACCTTTTGTTGGCAGGACACAGCTGTAACTGGTTGGTTTTAAGATTGGAAGGACTGAAGAGTAAACGTGTCAGTAGGGTGCACAAAAGTAAAGAACAGACAAATTACTAATAGACTAGATATCATGCATAGTGTTGGAGGCATTTGTGAAATTTTATGTTAAATATGCATTTTCTGCTGACATTGAAAAAGAATATCTGTCAATGTACAATATATTAACCCCCCTCTACCCCTGAGCTGAAAGGGGCTACATAGGACCAACAGTGACCAGACATTATTTGGGTGGTGGAACATGCTCAGCAGTGTTGCTGGAGTTCTTAAACACTGTATACACTTACTGTCCACCCTATTAGACTCAACTATTTTCATATTAGTTCCACCTTGTAGATGTAAAGTTGATGCACAATTTGTGTCCTTTAGCCCTTCCTCAGGGATCAGTTTCTGACCACAGGAACACTACTGACTAAATATTATTGGTTAATCAACTTTTCTCAGCAGTGACACTGCTGTATATTATACACTCTTACCAGCAACACATAAACTGCCACATCAGTGCAACAGCTGTGCTGTAAATGATCCACCACCCAAACCCAAACGTCTGGACAGCGTTGGTCCTGTGATTGTCTTTAACCTTCCTAAATCACTGGCGCTATTATACAATAGGTTAGAAAGCATGAGAACATGGACTAAAACATCCACAGTGGTGAATAGTGATGGCATCAACAGGGGCCACCAAAACACACACACAATCACTAACACTATCACTAACACTCATTCACTCTTGTAGAATTGCAGCTGAGCATCTCAAGGACTAATAGGATCATAGTTATGTAATGTACTTCAGAGATGTTTCAGTTTCTCTGATGTTTGCTCCATGTGAATTTAATTCAAACCACAAATGTGAGTGATTTGAACTGCTTCAGCTCCCTCCCCCCAATCGTTCACTTTACTTACCCCACTTTTTTATTACATTCATTAAAATCATGACTAAACAGATTGTTCTCTCACTTGCATATCCCTTTCTCTCTCTCTCCTCTCTCGCTCTTTTCTCGTGGCTCTCTTTTCTCTCTTTTTGTCTCTCTCTCTGTCTTTCTGCCTCCCTATCTTCCCTCCCTCTCTCATTCTTTTATTTCTCTGTCTCTTTCTCTCTCTGCCTCTCTCACTCTCTGTCTCGCTCTGCCCCCTCCCTCTCGCCACATAAACCACAAGGTTATTAGGAATTTACTGTGGCGTGCTCAAAACACAACATAAAAAGAATTGTAACAAAGTAATAAAACTTACATCCATAACACTAATAAAATAGTAACATAGTAAATTTCAGTATCTCTTTGTCTTTCTGTCTCTCCCTCTCTCACTCTCCCTCTCTCCCTCTCTCCTTCTTTATCTCTCTTATTTTCTCTCTCTATCTCAGTCTCTCCATCCTCAGAATGCGTAACCCTGACCCCTGATGAGGCGTCTCTAGGCAGTAACGAGTCCGTCTCCTCTCAGTCGTCCACAGCATCGACCTCAGAAACCCCACCAGAGAAGGCCAAGAGTCCCCATGGCAACATACTTCCTATCACCACCCCACAGAATTCTGGGTAAGCGATAACCAGCTCCACCACCAGCTGACACCTCTCAGACGTTCATAGGAAGAGGGTGGTTTGATCTTTACACATGTACTTATTAAAGAGCAGAAACATCATTGGCCATGTAGTTAAGTTAGTTAAATGTTTTCCATGTAGCAGGGTTAATAGAGTAAACTGAGATTGTGTATGTTGAGTACATATTATGGACACAGTTAAATAGAAAGCAGGACTTCAGATCACTCTGAGGAAAAAAAAAGGTTTTTTTATTTTTATTTATTTATTTTTTTTGTAGCCCAGTATTTTATTATTTGCAGTACTGTGGAAAAGACAGAGACCCCCTTTCCATTATGCAAGTTACTAATTTCTCAGGAGTTTCTGATGAGATTAAATTTAAGATAAAGCTTTCATCTTTGCTTCAGATCTGAAAAAATCCACAGGTGTTTCTGTCTATTCTTCCACTGTGAGAAGACAGCTCAGTCCCGTTGATCTGAAAGGATGTGTAGCTGTCAGGAAGCTGTTGCTAAGAAAAAGAAACAGCAAAAAAAATAGCAAAGCAAACAAAGAAGCTACTGGTATTCTCAGAACAATGGGGTGACCACCCCAGAGTCCAGACCTCAACACGATTGAAATACTGAAAAAAATATATATATTTATTGGTTAGGGTAATTTTATTTTCAATTTATGTTTCTGCTTTTTCCTGACTTTGAAAACTTTATAACTTTTACTTAATACCTGGTTTGACAGAAAATTAAAAAAAAAATGGAAAGTGGTCTCTGACTTTTGCGCAGAATGATATATTCTAGCTGTTTCATAGCTTTCTAATGCTAGTGTTTTATTTTATTACTCCTACATACAGATTGTGTAAAAGAAACCCATTTTGTTGTAACCGGTTTAGGACATCTTTGGGTTAGAATATGAGAACAGATACATTAAAATAGTGGTTCTGCTTAGAGCAAAGTGGTTAATTTTGACAAAAAGGACCACACAAAGCTGTATATCACTGTTGTCGGAACCTCGTATCTCCAAAATGGTAACATTACAGGAAAAGGAAAAAACCAACTTTACTTTTAATGTAAGTCAGTGGAACCAGACTTATTCCAAGTTATTTTCGGCCATTTCTATTGGTCCATTCATCATGAAATTTACACACAAGCTAAAGCACAACAGGCTTTTTAAAATTTTGTCAAAAACTGAAAAACTACAAAAATGGAGATCCTAGGTTTTCTTCCGACAACAGCAATATATATTAGAAGCTATAGAATTTGCAGACTTTACAAGCTGCTTACAAGAGTGCTGTGGGTTTATAAATGTGAGCTTGAATACAACTGAATATTTACTTGTGGAAGTCAGTAATGGAATTTAAAATATGCAGGTGAATTTTGTACCCATGTATGAATCGTTCATAGTTTGTACTCTTGTGTTCAAAAGTCTTTGTTGCTCCTGGTAATAAAAACAGGCCTTCACATTGCAGTGGTCCCTGATTCCTGAAGGTATCTCTCTGTATGTTTGGCCTTAAATACATATTCAGGAGAGAAACTGCTTAGCCCTGCTCTAAAGGGTTTTATAAAAATCTTAAGCACTATTTGTTGATGGGGATTTTTTTTAAGGCGCTTTGCTGGCATTGGCCTTAGAACTACTTTGTTCAGTTCTACAGCGTTATACATAATAAAGCTTTTTTCATTGTCATCTCCAGGTAGCTCAGTTCAAGAACTGAAGGTGTTAGTGTGCATTCTTGGCACTGTTTTGGCAGAAGTTTTGAGTTTCTCTAGCTCCCTCTCTCCGTTTCTCTCTCTCTCTCTCTCTCTCTCTCTCGCTCTCTCGCTTGCTCTCTCGCTCTCTTTCTCTCGCTCTCTTGCTCTCTCTCACTCTCTTTCTCGCTCTCTCACTCTCTCTCGGTCCTTGAGCTGCTCTGCGCTTTGGGCAGCTGGCTGGTGCTGAATGCTGATGTGGGAGATAATAATATTGGGTTATGCTGGAAAATTCAGCTCTTTGCTCTCTGCCATGCCTGCAAGAATTCACCTTGAAATAAACTTTTTCTTTGTCTGCTCTCCTCCTCAGTGCCTCCATCCTCGCTCCTCTCTTCCATCCCCCCACTTCTGCTGTTAAAGTAATATCACCAGCCCCCTCACGATTGTTTAGGTTTTCAGTGTCTGACTCACTTATTCGAATATTCACTCTCTTTTTCTTATTCTGTCTCTCTCCCTCTTTCTTTCTTTCTCTCTTTCTTTCTTTCTTTCTTTCTTTCTTTTTCTTTCTCTCTGGCACAAGGGTCAGCGATATGATGATATGGTACTTTTTTCTGAGTATATTGTGTGTATTGTCAGAACTTCTATTACTGCATGCATCACAAAATGCAGACTGTGAACAATTAACCTGTCCATGCTCCACCCACAAATCTGTTCTTTCCTAGCAACTGTTGCAAGTTTGGAAAGGCTTTGTGGAATTTTAAAAATTTCGGTCAATCTAATGAGAAATTGTGGCGAAACTGACTAGATTTACAACTAACTGGCATATTGATACTCCCTCAAAGATAAATTTGCATAGTTGTGGACAGTTTAACTTAATAAATAAATAAAATGCACAGGCAAGAGAAAAAAAAAATAAAGAGAAATCTGATGGCCTTTGACATTTCTACACACGCACTTTGAAGGCCTAAATGATAATGAATGACATTTCTGTTGGAAATGTAATTGTTTGAAAGTACAAGTGTTCAGTTTCAATAATGCTTAACAAATTATCCAGTGTAATACTTAGAGTAAGGAAACCTAAATCCATGTTTTCTTTCTAAGTAGGTTAATTTTGCCCTTGTGGGAAGATAATATGCTTACAAAGCATGTCCTGTGAATAACTTTCCACTACCCGCTAAAAGGTTGATGTATTTTACCAAGATTCTCCTCTATTGATGTAAAGAGGGCAGTCCTAAACTTGCGGCACACATTCTTAAGCAGTATCCTCACCAATCAGAATGCTGATGTGGCTTGTCCTACCCACATAGCTTTAACAAAACTGTGTTCCTCTACAGCAGTGGTCACCAACCCTGCTCCTGGAGCTCTACTCTTCTGTCAAATCTAGTTCCAACTACAGCCTGCCACTGCTCTACAGTCTCTCTCTGTTCAGGGTGTCTCATGTGTCTGCCTGTCTTCTGTCCGTCCATCAGTCTGTTTGTCCATTTGTCTGTTCGTTTAAGCTGCCACGCCATCCTTCCATAGGTGCACATCCTGCAATAAAGTGAATAAGATCCTTACCGTCTTTAGGACATTGCCATATACATAACTGAACTGGTGGGCACCACCTGCGTAGCCGGTTTTACTCATGTCCCCCTGCTCACGCTGTTGGCTTTAGTTCTACTTCAGTGGCATTGCAGGATGGAAGTGTTGGACAGAGGGATGATTTTTTGTTTCATGATGCGCCAAATGTTTTGTTGGTGAGTTGAGAGATGTTGTCTGGACGGAAGCATATGTTGTTCTAAAATCTTTATATACTATTCAGCATTAATGGGGCCATTCGAGATTTGTAAGCTCATACCATCAGAGATGCCGGCTTTTTGAACTGTGCGCTGGTAACAAGCTGGGTCCGTGTACCTTCTGTTCATTTGTTTTCATTTTAAAAGCAAGTATTGAAAAACGGCGGTTCTCGTTTCTGGTTCTGTTATTGTCGGTGGAAAAATCAAGAAATAGCTTTGTTTTACAATTTCACAAACATCATAAAATCAAAAAACAAACAAACAACAATGGAATACAGGGCAGCCCCTTAGCAGTGTAGATCACCTCCGCTCCCTCCGCTTCATGGTAGACACTTAACCCAACTAACTAAACACACACCCAGGTGCGGCGTCAGGTGGTGCTAGAGGGTGTGGAAGGCCCCCTGAAAATCGTTCAGCGCCCACGTTATCAACCTTGAAAAATGTTGAATTCCCTTGTTTGATTCAGACCCATGGCGCAGCTCTAACATGCCTTTAAAGCTCCTTTCCCCCCCAAAACCGGAGTCAGCGCTGCCGCCACATTGTTAGAAGAACACTATCGAACACGGGACAGCACACATAGCAGGAGTCGGGTTGCGTGTCAGCGCAGTTTTTTGCTAATAGACGAAGTCAGTAAACACATATATAGCCTTCCATAATGCCAGATCTAGGCTGACGTTCTCAATATTCATGCTTGATCTTTCCTGGCCTCATAATTTTTTAACCGCGACTGCCTGATTCTGAACTCCTGCGACCATGGGTGCACTTTGTACGTTTATTTTTGGTTAATTTGAATCAGTAAACTCGACCCCTTATTCCATTGCTCTTTGTTTGTTATTTGAATTTTTGATTAGTTTGTAAAATTGTAAAATTAAGCTATTTGTTGTTTTTCGACTGACAATAACAGAATCAAAAACGAGAATTGACCCATTTGCCGTTTTTCAGTACTGGATTTTGAAATGAAAATCAAAGGAACAGAAGGTACACGGACCAAGCTGGATGGTCTCTTTCCTCTTGAGTCCGCAGGACACGGCGTCCGTGGTTTCCAAAAAGAATTTCAAATTTGAAATCATCTCACCACAGAACAGTTTTCCATTTTGCCTCAGTCCATTTTAAATGAGTTTTTGCCCAGAGAAGACAGCAGCATTTCTGGATTGTATTGACATATGGCTTCTTCTTTGCATGACACAACTTTAACTTGCATTTGTGGATTGTACGGCGAACAGTGTTCACAGACAGTGCTTTCTGGAAGTGGTCCTGAGCCCATGCAGTGATTTCCGGTACAGAATCATGCCTGTTTTTATGCAGTGCTGCCTGAGGGCCTGGAGATCACAAGAACTGACTGCTGGTCTTGTCCCTTGTGTACAGGGATTTCTCCAGTTTTTCTGAATTTCTTGATAATATTATGTACTGTAGATGGTGGTATATCCAAAATCTTCACAATTTTGACAGTGAGGAACATTTTTCTCAAATTCACTTTGTTGAGATGCGTTGCTGCCATCAAGTTCTAAATGAGTTCATGTTTTTCATGAAATGGTAAAATGTCTCATAA